TCTATGTTATTTAAAGAACTCATCTGGGGAATCATTCTGTAAAATGAAGATGGCTTCTGTAAGGCAAATTCGTTCCTTCTGAGGGGTATTCAAATTTTGACTAGAGATGGGCTGAATTTCTTTGTGTTTAAATCTGCCTGCCCTGAGTAGATTTCCCTCAGGGGACTCTGGTCCTCTCTCCTTCTAGTTAAATTTAGTGGAACCAATGTTTTGCAGGTTCTAAGCTTAGGTCTTAAGTGCTCTTCCAACTTCCACTCTGACCTTGGAACTCTCTGTTTGACTGGTGGTTCTACTGAGGTAAGCTGGGTTTGGCTAGGCTCACTCATGTATCTACAATCAGGTGGCTCTGCTCATCTTGTCTGGGCTCTCTCGTCCATGTAAGGAAGAGTCTGAGGAGGGACGACTGAGCCGAGTAAATTCCACTTCGCATGGCCTCATCCTCAAGCAGCTCAGCTTAGACTTGTTCTCATGGCTGAGGCAGGGTACCAGAGGTAGTGCTCCAGAAGAGAAAAAGAAAACAATTCCCTTGCAGCCTAGGCTCAGAACTGGCACAACATTCTTTGTACTGCTTTCTACAAGTTCAAGCAAGTCACAAAGTTCAGCCCACATTTACAGGGGTGGGAAAATAGAGTACACCTTCTGAAGGGAAAAGCTACAAAGTTACTATTTAAAAAAATATGTGTATTGATTTTAGAGAGAGAGGAAGGGAGAGAGAGAAACATCGATTCATTGCTTCCTATACATGCCCCAATTGGGGATCAAACCTGCAACTGTGGTGTATGGGATGAAGCTCCAACCAATCAAGCTACCCTGGCAAGGGCCAAAGTTATTTTGCAAAGGGCACGGATGCAGGAAGAGGTAGAGTATTGGAATCATTTCTGTAATTAATTTACCACAGGAAACAAACTCTCCCCTAACTCAGAGGTAGTGGGTGGCCTCTGAGGTGGTAGTGGGGCTCAGACAACTGAGGTCAAAGACCTGATGGTGCTTTGAAAATTATAAAGTGCCCTACAGATAGTGGTTCTGAGTGTGGTGTCCTACCTCACCTGTGGGACTGTGAGTTCCTTGGAGCAGGGCTGTGTCCCCCTCCTGACATCCCTTTCAGTACTAATGAGAGGTTCACAGAAGTGAAAAGAAATAGAGAAGCAGAGCAGTTAATGAGAACAGAGGCACACACACTGTTCTCTCATCCCTAGAACAAAGACGGACTTCAAATACTGTGGAATCTGAGAAGCTCCCTTCTGCAAGTTTCCCTCCCACTCCTTACAACTCTGGCCCCACTTCTAAGGGAAGTTGGCAAGGTAGTACCTGTCTTTCCATTTGAGGCCACATTAGAATGACTTGCTTAGAGTCACCAGCTATGGGGGAGAACCCCATCCTGCCTAAGGAATCCACCAGGTCTGCTTGAGGGATTGCAGGTAAGAGATACACTCACGGTATCCTGCAGTATTGACTCACAGATGCTTTCCTGATAACATGGGAGCCCTGGAAAGCCATTCCCACTGGATCCTTGTATAATCCTGCTTTTCCATAGTCTCTGCCTCCAGCTTGCCTTTCCTCATCCTCCTCCACATCGCCTTCCCCAAAACACTGATAGGACTGTATTACGTCTCTGCTTAAACTAATGAGCTAATGTTTATTGAAACTTATCATGGGTCAGGTGCCATTCCAAGCTTTTTAAAATCTTTACAATTCTCTGAGATAATCATTATTTTTAGCCCCATTTTGCAGATGAGGAAATTGAAGTACAAGAGACAAGAGATTACAGTGACTTACTCAAGGTTACACAGTAATTAAGTGGCAAAGTTAGTATTTTAATCAGGCAGTCTGGCTCCTGAATTAGGCTTCTCAGGCCAGAAAACCTCTCTTTGTAGATTTCTATTTTTCTAATAATAATATAATGATTAACATTTGTGGATTGCTTACTATATGCTAGGCCCTGTTCTGTCTATGTTACATGTTAAGTCATTTGAGTCTTAGAGAATTGGGCTGTAATATTATTAACATATAATAATTATCCTCATTTTACAGGAGGAATTTGGGGCACAGCCATATAACAAAGATGGGTTACCAAACACTTCAGCTTCAGAGCCAAGTTTATTTATAAACGGTGCTATCTGGTCTTGGCTGGTGTAGCTCAGTGGATTGAGCACTGACCTATGGACCAAAAGGATGCTGCTTTGATTTCTGGTCAGAGCATATGCCTGGGTTGCAGGCCAGCTTCCCAGCTGGGGGTGTGTGAAAGGCAGCTGATCAATGTTTCTCTCACACATCAACATCTCTTTCCCTCTCTCTTTAAAAATAAATAAAATCTTTAGAAAAACCAAACTGTGCTATCTGGCTTCCCCACGGCTGTTCAGCCCAAGGTCCCAGTAGCCAAGCCTCTTTGGGTTCATGCAGCATGATCTCTGCATTGCTGCCAAAGCATGTCTTTTGTTTCTTGCTCTAGGCATGTCTTTTTTCTTCCCAAGCAGACCTGAAGTTCCACAAGGCCAGATTTGAGATCTAGTATGTGCTTCAATATCTTTGGCTCACAGCGGTATCAGTGGATGTCTATTGAATTAAACTATGGAATGCCAGAGGTGAACTGCCTTGGGACCTTCTCTCAGAAGAAAGGAGTGACCACTCACTGTGACCTGAACATTAGACTCAGTTTGTTACTGATACAAGGTGTGTGTGCCTGATGCGTCAAAAGACCAATATTGAAGACAGCAGAGTTTGGAGTAAGGAAAGATTTATTCCTTTCCTGATGGAGAGCGTGCCAGCTCAAGAAGATGGGGGCTGTTATAGCTTCCACAAATCCATATTAAGAGAGCTCAGAATTTAGGCTTCTTTTATGTCAAGGGAAGGGAGAATGAGTGGAGCAACAGGTGTGTGACATTTAGGTGCCAACAGGGATCCAAAGAAGAGTGAGAAATCTCTAAATTTCCTTGTTCCCTGGTCCTGACCCCTGATGATCTGAGTCCTGTCTTGAGGCTTCTGAAAATCTTTGCCAGAGCTCAAGCCTCAAGTAGTTTTCTAATAATTAGTATATACATGGCAGGAGATGTTCACTGAAGGTCATGGGAGAAATGCAGGCTAGAATTAAGATAGAACCAGAGGGAGTGAGCATTTCACTCCCTTACAAGCCCAAGACTTGCTGTCTTGGCCTCAATACCCCATCCAGATCCTCCATATCCTTCTTTGTAAATTAAATCCTGTTTAATATGGCCCCAGGAAGCTACTACTTAGAGAAACCATCATCACAGGAAAAAAACAGAAGTGAATATTTTGTTAATGGAATTCCTAAATTAACAAATTTTGGCCCAGCTCATGACAGATTACCAACTTGGTGATTAAGCCTCAGGAATGGTCAGAGTTTCCACATAACTATAATCTTATTTTTTCCTTCTTGAGAGGGAGAGAGGGTCAGAAAAAATGCTTCTCATTTACAAAAGGGAAAATTGAGTTACCCAAGGTCACCCTCAAGTGATGGGTGAATCAAGGGTGAGAATCCCTTTATTCCATCAGATTGGGTGAGGTGACCTTGCAAGAGCTTTAGATTAGAGTTTCGATGACCCTGCATCTGTCAGCTCTCTTTTTCTAGAAAAACTGAGGTTCAGGGATTTGAAATTTATGAAGGCCCATCAGTGTTGAGGTGGAACTCAGCAACATTCAACAGGGGTTGAAGATTTAGAAACAATGCTTCGGACCCCTCTGGAATTTGCTCAAGGGCCTCACAGTGACTCTAAAGGCCCTCAGGTCTGGCTTCTTGAAATAACATTCAAGGCTTTCCCCCAGAGGGCCATTCATTCAGTCACTGAACATTTATGGAGGGCCTGCTGTGTGCCAGACACCACTTGTAAAGGACCTCACAGACTCCTAACAATCCGACAAGGTAGGGATGATAACCGTTCCCTCTTCAAATGTAAAGGCACAGATTCAAGGAGGTAAAGAGAGAACTGGAGTGACTGCAGTTTTTCAGCAAATAATATTACCAGTCACAAGGCACTTTCCTATACCCCTTTCTACAGGGCCTCACTTCCAGGGGCAGTGATGGTGGTACTGCTTTATGAGTAAGAGCAATGGTTTAGGGTTAGGCGAGATGGAACCCCCTACTCAGCCACTCGTGTGACCCACAGAAATTATTTAACCCTTCTTGTCCTCAGGTACCTCATCTGTAAATTGATAATAAAATGCCTTCCTTACCGGTCTGTTGGGAGGACAAACGAGATAAAGCACATAAAGCCCTGTGTGTGTGTGTGGGGGGGGGGTGTGTGTGTGTGTGTGTGTGTGTGTGTGTGTGTGTGTGTGTGTGAGATCCTCTACCCTCTGAAGGGCACCAGGTCCCCAGACTCCTCCTGGTCAGGCGTTCCCACTGGATGTGAACTCCAGGAGGGCCCAGGACTGGAAAAATATGACCTGGGAAGGTCAGTCTGCAGGGTCTGATCAGGACGACAAGAGATGTATGGTTCATCTATGAAAAGAGCCCAGGGCCAGAGACACGGGATCCCAGGGTTGGATAGAGGGGAGGGAACAGCAGGTGGGCGCTCCAGAGGAACCGGTCCCAAGGCTGGCCCCCGGGCGCCTTGCGCTGGGGAGAGGCGGGTACCCTGTGATGCGGGCTCTGACGCAAGGTTCCTCAGAAAGGATGCTGCTAAACAGTTTGCGGCGATTGATTAGGTCTGCGAGCCCAATCTGTCTTCCAGTCCACTTGTCTTTCCCTCAAGGGCGTCGTTTGTCTGAGTCTTCCGGGAGCTGGGGCTCCGGGGTGCGTGGGGCTGAGGCCGGGCAGGCGGAGCCGGGGCGCCGAACTGCTGCTAACGCTCGTGCTTCTGAGAACGCGCACAGGAAGCGGGTGCTCCTCGTCCTCCAGCTCAACCTGACCCTGCGCTTGAGGACACGGGGAGTGACCCCAGCGGGGCAGCTGGGCATCGCAGGCAGACCTTGACCGTTGCGCGCCGCCGGCTTCCGGCCCGGTGCCGGGCAACGGCGCGCTCCCGGGCGGGCCCGCTGCAGCGCAGCTGTCCTCCGGCTCCTGCGGCGCAGGTGATTCCAGGCCGGGTTTTGCGGCGGAATCCACTAACATCAGTTCTTCTGTCGCTTTCGGCAGCCCTCGGCGGTGGGAGATCATGGTGCTGAACGAGCTATGGGCTGCGCTCTCCGGAGCCTCCGGGGCTGCCTTGGCCTGCTGCTTCGTGGCGGCGGCCGTGGCCCTGCGCTGGTCCGGTCGCCGGACGGCACGGGGTGCGGTGGCCCGGGCGCGACAGAAACAGCAAGCGGCCCTGGAAAAAATGGACAAAGCAGCGCAGCGCTTCCGGCTCCAGGTGAACGGTCGGGGTCGCGGTCCATGGGCTCAGGCTGGGAGTACCCCCAGCAGCAGTTTCAGCTGTCCCGACGCGCGCGGAGGGGCGTGTGGCGGGCAGCGCAGGTGTGTGGGCAGCGCAGGTTTGTAACTTTCGGAACCCCTTCTTGCGCAAATGAATTCAGTACCCTTTCTGAGCCAGGTGGGGCCAAGGGGATGAAGGGAAACGAAAGAGACTGGTTAGATTTTATAAGGTTAGCAGCACTAGCCCAAAAGAGGAACTTTGGCCATGGACGGGTGGGTCAGTTGTTTGGAGTGTTGTCCAGTGCACCTAAAGGTTGTAGCTTCGATTCTGGTCAGGGCACCCACCTAAGTTGCAGGTTCGAGCTCCTCGGAACGCGTACAGGAGGCAACCTATCGTTGTTTTCCTTTCTCTTTCTCTCTCTCTCTCTCTCTCCTTCTCCCTCTCTCCCCCATCCCTCCCTCCCTGTCTCCCTTTCTCTAAAAATCAACGAAAACACACCCTCCGGTGAGGATTAGAAAGAAAAAAAGGGAGAAAGAAAAAAGAGGAGCTCTGCTCTTTGCCAAAGAATCTCAAGATCACTGACTATTAGAAGGGTAAAACGCAGGCATGAGAACCAATAGGGGATACGAGGATTAGGACTTTGAAATCACCGAGTGATGACCAAGGGATAGCCAAGGGAATCCGGACAGCTTACTTAAGTTTAAACTCGTTGATTTGTGCGTGAGGAGCATAAGAGGGGCAGAGAAGGACTTGCCCAAATGCACAAGGAGTTATTCGCAGACCTCGGCTGGAATGGAAGTCTTTCCAGCTCCTACAGCTCAGTAGCTCATGGCCAACTCCTGAGAAGCCCCTTCTGTGAGCAGGTTTAGTTCCGGATCTTCCCTGGGTGATCTGCCAACAAGGTTTTCTCCTTCTGGATCAGCTCAATCATGTGTATGGGGCAGAGGAGGGGCCTAGAAGAGGAGGCTTTCTCTCCAGTTATATGAGGTACCAGACCTAGTTAGAAATCAAAATGCTGAACTGTGGCTGTTGTCGTATGTTCTGAGAGAGAAAAGACTTACCATGAGTGTTTGTGAGAGTATGTGTTTTGATAGGATTTCTATCTGACCGGTAAGAAGGTGGTCCAGGTGATGGAGACAAGAGGCAGGAGGGTGTGCCTTCCTCAGTTGGAGACTGGGAGGGAGTCACAGAAAATTGCTCTTAACAGATACTCAGATGCAGCAAGTGATTTTTGAGTTGAGGTTGAGCTGAAACTAGAACCTAGATGCCCAGCGGGACTAACCAGCCTCATTCCAGAGGAGGGGAACAGTGGAGAGATATTAGGAAAGGAGACTGGACCTTGGATGCCAGCCAGGCCCAGGGTGTGGCCTTGATTGTAGTGAGATTTTGGCTAGATATCATGGGATAAATTTACTCCATACCATTCCTGGGCTAGAAATATTATTTATTGAAATAAAAATGTATCTGGTTCCAGCCTCCACTCATCAAACAGGCTGAAAAGTCTACCATCAGTCAATGTTTAGGGTCCCCTCTGCCAAGATTGGGAGGCCCTGGTGTTCAGTCCCAATTGGACACTTCCCCTACTTGGGCACAATCCTCCCTCTCTGCCTGAGCTCCTAGGTGCCCTGCTTGGGGATCTTCTCAGCTGCCCCCAGTGCACCAAGTCCTTCTGTGCAATCAGCTGAGTTCTGCCACCTCCAGAACAGCTGCAGGAATCTGCCCACAGTTTCTGCCTACAGAACTCCCTCCCCAGTTGCAGGAAGCCCACCTGCTGGCAGGAGTATGTGTGTGGGGGGCGTGTAAAATGGTGGGTCTTCCCTTACTTCAACTCCAAGCATCAGTATCTAGTTTCCCTCTGGAACCATCACCTTTCATTAATTTTAAGAATGGAATCCTCCAGGGCAGAAATTTTGGCCCTGAAATACAAAAGATGTTTACATACACTCTCTGGGGCAAGAGAGCTTGGCCTTAGGACGCCAAAGCTTGGTTCTTCCAGGAGGGGAAGCCAGGAAATTGTCTTTTGGTTTTACTAAGACTGGAGAAGAAAGGGAGAGGTACCTGGGGAGTCTCATTGTTTTGAACTAGGAGCAAAGGGGTGGGATCTTGATGGCAATACTTTTGTAGGCCTTGGGAGCAGGTAGGAGGTAGACTGAATTCAGCCCTAGCCTGAACCTCCCTGGCTCTAAGGCTCCCTCTGCTTGACTGTGGAGTCACTGGAGGACTGGCAGGTGGGTTTTGACGCTGTCTTAGCAGCCTTTCTTCTGGGGCTTTCTCCGCCTGACCTTGAATAGCAAGGGACACTAACAGAAGCAGGGCTCTGAGCAGGCCCCGGGAGATTATAGCAGCTCGTAATACAGCTCCTGCCTAATAGACTCTGCACAAAGCTTGATGGGAACCTAGGTACCTCCTGTATTCCAAGGCAGTGCTGGAGGAGGGGACAGTCGTAAGCATTTCCTGAATCATCACATAATGGTTGTCTCTTAAGATCTAGAACGACTCTAGTGCAAGGAGTGTTTCTGGTTAACTCTCTGTTGACCTTTTGGGCTTAACAACCTGTAACAACTCTTTATCTCTTTCCCTCCACCGTGCTTCCTAAGTGAGCTTTGATATCCTTTCTAGATTGATGAGATTGATAAAATTATGACCCAGACTTTAACCTGGACCTAATCAGGAGGGCCTGTGGGAGGAGCTAGAGGTTATGGGAGGAGTTCTGGTACTATATGTCACTGTATATCCCTATAAGGAAAAAACTTACGTTTGAAACAGTTCTATGGTTGCAACAGCCCCTCCTTTTAACTTCCACTGTCCTCTTTATAAAGTCTCTCCTCTGTCTTTGTTTGGTTCATTGTGCACATATGGTTTGCCAATTCTGTGCATACTGGATTACAATCCTTTACTTTTCCTGAATAAACTCTTTTTTGGTGATGAATTACCTAGTTGATTTTATTTTTTCGGTCTATAAGAGGGAGCACTATTAATAGAATATTATGGCTGGGAGAGATACCACAGAACAACTGCTCGTGCTTCTGTGGCCTTTGCATTTGTAGTTTTACCTTCAATGCCTTTTCCCCACATTTGTTACAATCGGTTTTGTCAAAATCCCACTAGTCTTACAAATGTTACTTCCTTCAAGTGGATCTGGCCTGTAGTTCCGTCACTTAGCCTTCTCCAAAGCCTACCTTGAACCTGATTCAGTAGATGAATCGAAGGACAATGCAGTTTTTGTTGAGACCAGTATCAGTGGCATACATGATCAAATGGAAGAGAGATTTGAAATAGAACAAAAATGATTCTTAAACCATGAGGGAAAATAAAAAGGACACGGAGGACCATCCAGGGTACCTGAAATTAGGACAGTAGGTGTTTCAGAAGGAGAAAAACAATTGGAGGAGTGGCAATGATTTGTTGATGTAGAAATGCCCAGACCTGTAGAGTATTTTTATGAGTTTATTTGAGACAAACATATGCTGGGGAGCAAGATCTCCGTTGCTCCAGAGCAGCGATTTTCAACCCTTTTCATGTCATTGCATGCATAAGCTAGTTACTGCAATTCTGTGACACAACAACAAAAAAAATTTTTTTGCCTATGACAAAAATAGGTATAATTCTGATTGATTTACAAAGAAAATAATAGTAATTACCTACCATTTTGCTCCCTAGTGGCTTAAAAAAAAACAACAGGTGCCTATATTTATATATAAAGATTTCTTTTTAAAAAAAATTACTGATTTTGAAACTACTGGTCAAGATGAAATAATAGGTAAACATGCCTCACCTCTGCACACAACTATAGCAAAAAATAAAGCTACACTACACAACAAATATCACCCAGAATTGTCAGAAAATGGAGCTGTGTGGAAGTCTGACAACTAGGGATCTAAAGAAGCCATATTCATCCAGACGGGTAGGAAGGGCAGAGATGCGGAGAGGTGTGGAGAGGTGCAGAGAGGCGCAGAGAGGCACAGAGATGGGAACGGGGGGGTCCCACATCCTAGTGTGGTGGGGATTTAGGACTCACACAGACCCACCCCTTTTGGGATTCAGCACCAGGACAATAGTTGGAAGGGCACCACTGGCAAATGGGGAGAAAGTGACGTACGAGTGGGGAGACAGCTTCCTCCTGGGCAAAACTGCAGAGGCCAGGCAGTGGCATTGTCGCTCCGTCCCTGGCACAGAGCAACAGCATTACATGGGTTGCCCCGTCTTGGTATTACCTAAGGCTCTGCCCTATACAACTTAACAGGTGCCTTAAGGGAGTCAAAACAGCTCTACTTAATACGCAGAAACAAACACAGGGAGGCTGCCAAAATGAGGAGACAAAGAAATATGGTCCAAATGAAAGAACAGAACAAAACTCCTGAAAAAGAACAAAATGAAATGGAGATAAGCAACCTATTAGATGCATAGTTCAAAACACTGGTTATCAGGATGCTCTAGGAACTCACTGGATACTCCAACAGGAGGGTGGTCCCAGAGTTGGGAGAATGTACACTTTTCATTTTGTATATTTTTAAAGAAATATCCAGGGAAGAACTAAGGACTGCATCATCATGATGTGCACGTGTGATGTCTCCATTTGAACGAATAAAGCTGTTATACCAAAAAAGAAGTTAAGCCTTTGGAATGAGGTAAAGTTCAGCTGGGTCAGGATGGCTAGAGATCAGGAGACCATGGGGTAGGTGGAGAGCCTAGAGAGGAGGCTGCCAGAAAGAATGACTCTCCCAGCATCAGAGAGCGAAGTAGAGATGTCCGGAGGGAACCCCAAGGAACCACTACCTGTCCCTACTGTCTGGCTCCTTCTCATCCTTCAAATCACGATGAATGTCACTTCCTAGAAGAGGCCTGCCCATGCAATCTGGGTCTGTTCTCTGCTTTTTTCTACCACAGCACTCTTTGCTTTCTCACACTTGCCATGGTCTGTTCATTACTTGTTAATTTGTTTCCTTGAATGTAAGCCCTCTGAAAGCACGGACTTGCCTTTCTTGGTTACCTCTTAACTTCATAGTCCTTACCATAGTCCTTGACACATAGGGGATGCTCAGAAAATGTATTTTGACTGGCTGAATAGGTGGATGACAGAAATAGCTGAAAGGCACCAGGAAAATCAGGGAGGGTGGTATCTCCAGGCTCAGGAGAAAATTGAAGAAAGCTGATGTGTGATCAGTGAGACATGGAGCAAAAGAAACAAAGTCAAATTTCTGTTGGATTTGGCAACAAGAGAGCCCCTGGAGACCTTGCCAAGAGCAAGAGAGCATAGGGAGGACAATGGGTGGCTGTGACTCCGATCTCCTCTAACCCAGTTTGCTAATTAGCCCAGTACCCTTGAGAAGGAAGCAGCTTGGTGTTTGCAGGTCCGTGATGAGCCCAGGCGCTCTGGGAGCCTTTGAGACCTGGCAATGAAGTGTTTGATCAAACCTCTCTCCTTCAGAGAGCTCTTCCCTGACCACCCTGTACCTGTATGCTGCCCACTTCCTGTACCTGGTTTTATTTTCTTTATGTTATCTCTCATCTACAATTCTTACTTATTAACTTATTATCTGCTCACTCCTAATCTGCACCTTGTGTAAACCTCCCAAAGCATGAATATGCCTTTTTTGTTCACAGCTATAACCCCATGCTTAGTGCGGCACCTGGTATAGAGTAGGCACAGTATCTACTCAATGAATGAAAAAAAATCCTCTTCTGTATGTGGCTTTCAGCTGCAGCCTAACCACCCACGGTGGGATCTTCTTGTTTTCACCTTCCCTTGTTAGTGGTTGGGTGATCAGGTGCAGGGGGACAGCTAGTGGGCATCCTGGGCCGAGTGGGCAGAGAACTATAGTTTGCCTATACGGTCCTAAGCAAGGCACTTCCCTCTCTGAGCCTCAGTTTCTTTGTTGTGCAAGCAGAATGGTAGTAGATTTAATCAAAACACAGGGCATAACAGCACGATGCCTGGCACACAGGAGGCAGCCGTCGATGGTGGTACTTGGTAATAGTTCAGAGGTTTCCTCCCGGAGCCAGGTCAGCTAGACCTTTCTTTGTAATGTACAAATTCTGAACATCCCTTTAAGGCACAAGTTTTCATTGCTCTGGGATAAATATCCTGGGGTTGAGTTGCTGGGATGTGCAATAATTGCATGTTTTTGATATTGTACTTTGTTTTTTGAAATTATCATACTGTTTTCTAGAGTAACTATACCATTTTATATCACTACCATCGATGCACGAGTGACTGGTTTCTCCACATCCTCACCAGCACTTGGGACTGTTATTATATATTTAGTTTAGGGTGTTCTGGTATATGTGTATTTTGATTTTTTCATTTGCTTATTTGCCATTTGTATAGTCTCTTCCATGAAATGCTTGCTCATGTCTTTTGCCTATTTTATAACTGGAGTGTTTGTTTTCACTGTTACATTTTGAGGATTTTTGTACATTTGGACATTACCCTTTGGTTGGATATGTGGTTTGCAAATATTTCCCTCCAGTGTACACTTTATCATTTCATCTTACACAGAGCCTAGGTTTTTAATTTTAATAAATTCTAATTTATTTTTAAAAAAATCAGCCTGAGCATGGATTCTCCCTGGGTGTCTCATCCAGGAAGCTTCTCGAAGAAATAATATCTGTACTGTCCAAATTGTCAAGGGCTTGTGCTGGCTGGGTCACAGTGTCATATTTGTGTGTGGGCATGTCTGTCATGGATTGGTGTGTGACAATGAACATCTTCGTCGTGGGTTTGGGGACATAAGGATGAGGGCCACAGGTGTCTGCTGCAGGTGTGTGGGGCCTGCAGGGAGTGGGGGACTGATTTGAAGTGTCTCCCCAGAACCCTGACCTGGACTCAGAAGCGCTGCTGGACCTGACCCTGCCTCAACTGGTGAAGAAGTTACACAATGGGGAGCTGTCCCCACAGGCTGTGCTCTTCACCTATTTGGGAAAGGTAAGGTGAACCGGGGCCAGCCTGTGATCTCTGCTCTTTCCAGTCACTCTCAGGCACAGGCTGTGGGGAAAACCTGGCCTGGAGTTTATCCTGCTGAGGGCCATGGTGGGACCACAGTGCCAGGGGCTGCGGGGGAGGGAAGGAGCCAGAGCTGCAAGGGTTGTGTGTGTGTGCGTGTGTGCGTGTGTGTGTGAGAGAGAGAGAGAGAGAGAGAGAGAAAGAGAAGAGAGAAAGGCTAACTTTGTGTGTACGGGGAGGAGGAGGACACTGAGCATGTTGTCTTAGCCAGAAACCTGGCTTTCAGCCCAGATTTCCCTATCCCTCCTGCCCCTACTCCATCGGTTGCCAAGTCCAGTCTGTTCTTTTTCTGTGGCTCTCTCTAGTCCAGCCCCTCATCCCCACCCACCTGCAGCCACCTCGGTTCTCTACCACACGGCATCTCCCTTCATGATTAAGTGCCAGCCTCCTGGCCAGATCCCTTTCAGGCCTCCAGTTCTTCAGGCTCTACCTTTCTGTTTCTCCTCCATCTCCAGCATCCCATCTGGCCAACGCCTGCCTTCGGGAGCTTGGGGCATCAGTAGTAGTTCAGCTGTTGGTAGTTCCCTGATACCCAGGGCCTGCCATGCCCTGTGGTAGCTTTTGTGGGATTCCTTTATTCTGGAAGGCTCTTCTCCCTCTTCTTTGCCCTGCTTGGTGCAACAGACTCCCCTGGCTGAGTCTTCAGGGCTCAGAGAAAGAATCCCCTCTTCCATGAAGCCTCCCTGACCCTCCTCCCCTCCCAATCCAAATTAGCACATTTCTCATCGCATTATAGTACCTGCCTTGTTTTTCTCTTTCCCATGTCAAATGTGAGCTTTTTGGGGGACAGAGCTTGTCTTATTTGTCTTTGTATCTCAATGCTGGGCACTATGTCTTTCATATTGAAAGTGCTCAAAAATATGTTTGAAATAACATTATGAGTGTGACTTGTGTATTATTTCTTGAAAGAGGTCACAGGAAAGCATTCTGATTATAAGTTGGCCTCCTACTTCCTGCCTTAGGTAGCCTGGAGACAGATTTCATGAGCCTGAGTGTGACAACAGGACCTACACACATTTTCTCAGGTGTTTCACAGGAACAAGAGTATTTATTGAAAGCTGTACCTCATTCTTCCCTGGCTCTCCCTCCTTAGGGCCCTGTTGAGTATGGTGTGAGGGCTTTAGCAAGGCCTAGTGGCAGACATCCACTATGAGCATGTCATTACTTTCAGTCAAGCTCTTACTCCCTTACTACACGTCAGTCACTCCTCCATGTGACTTGATTATCAGATTCAAGATTTCCTGGGAGAGGGCACAGTTCCTGGGGCAGATGTGGGCCAGGCCTGGGACAAATGAGAGTGGGCTGGGCTCTGGGAGGCTGGAGTCTGGGTCTGCTGATGCCCAGGGTGGTCTGAGATGGGGATCTGCCCCTGTCTGGTTCCTGTCTGCCTCACTGGGCAGAGGAGGGGAGTGGCCATGGGTCATCCTCTTCCCTGCTCATTCCCTCTGGGGAGTTTCTTAGGCTAGTATCTTGCTCCTTTGAGGCCCCCAGTTGTGCCTTGGCCCTGGGCCAAGTACTTTCTCTCTCTTCATTTTGGGGTTGAAGACCAGAGAAAGCCAGCGTGAGGCTGGGGCTGGCTGTCCTCAGAGAGGTGGGTTCTGGGCCCTAGACTCTCTGCTGTGCTCTGGGCCATGTTGCTGACTACCCTTTCCCAGGATATACTTTAAAAGGCCAGGTTCATGTTATATATATTTTACCACAGTTTGGTTTTTTGTTTTTGTTTTTTAAAAGGCCAGCCTCACTCTGTCTTGTGTCCATTTCTGTTCCCCCTAGGCCTTGGAAGTGAACAAAGGGACCAACTGTGTGACCACCTACCTGGCAGACTGTGAGACTCAGCTGTCCCAGGCCCCAAGGAAGGGCCTGCTGTATGGTGTCCCTGTGAGCCTTAAGGAGTGCTTCAGCTACAAGGTATGCCCTGCCTCAGTATCAGGCCTCAAATTCCCCCATCCCTGCCAGCCAGCTCTGAGGGTTACGCTGGGCCCTCAGGAATTATTGGGTCCAGAGGCCTTGCGTGGGCACCGTGGTGTGCCTTGCCTTGGCCTGTGACGGGGGGCGGGGGGGCGGGAACGGGCCCTGTGCTGCTGAAGAGCCATGTCCCTCTCGGTGCCCATCTTTCCTTCTAGGGCCAGGACTCGACCTTGGGCTTGAGCGTGAATGAGGGGCTGCCAGCGGAGTGCGATAGCGTGGTGGTACAGGTGCTGAAGCTGCAGGGCGCTGTGCCCTTCGTGCATACTAACGTCCCCCAGTCCATGCTCAGGTTGGGTCTCTGGTGTGGGGTGAAGGCAGGGTCACTTGTGCCAGTGTGACATGGCTGACTCATTCCTGCTCCCTCCAGCTATGACTGCAGTAACCCCCTCTTTGGCCAGACCACGAACCCGTGGAACTCCTCCAAGAGCCCAGGTGGCTCCTCAGGGGGTGAAGGGGCCCTCATTGGAGCTGGTGGCTCCCTCCTGGGCTTAGGCACTGACATCGGAGGCAGCCTCCGCTTTCCCTCCTCCTTCTGTGGCGTCTGTGGTCTCAAGCCCACCGCGAACCGCCTCAGGTATGGTGTAGACAGGAGGCAGGTGGAGGACATTTCTGGGACCCTCGCTGTGTGACCTTGGCCTAGCTTCCCACCTCTCTGGGCTGCAGGCAGGGGTTCCCTCATGGGGGTTTTTCTGGGAGGGAGTGTCACAACACCACTGGCCCTGGTTCCTAGTTTCCAAGTGGTAAGAATTCCGAGCTGCTGGGTGGGTGTAGAATGGGGCAGGGGGTGCTCTTTCCTGTTTCCAGCATCTTGTGTTTCTTATCCAGCAAGATTGGCCTGAAGAGCTGTATCTATGGACAAGTGGCAGGTGAGGTCTGCGGTTCCCTTAGTGCCCTGGAGAGGGGGGTCCTGCCTCATCCACCTCTGCCTCTGCCTCTAATGGGGACAGAGTTTGGCCCCCAGTCCACTCTAGGTCTGAGTTCTTACATCCTTGTCTCTGCCCACATTCCTCGGCCCAACCTTTGCTTGGATACACCCCCTGAGTCCCTTGGGGCCCAGTGATCTCTCTTCCCTCCCTCCTCCACCTGACAGTACAGGTCTCAGTCGGCCCCATGGCCCGGGACGTGGAGAGCCTGGCACTGTGCCTGCGAGCACTGCTGTGTGAGGACATGTTCCGCTTGGACCCCACCGTGCCCCCACTGCCGTTCAAGGAGGAGGTGAGCAGGGTAGAGGTGGGCGTGGGGGTGGGTTCAGTGTTGCTGGAGCCCAGAGAGCAGCCCCCAGGCAGTGAGGGCAGGCCTTGGTGGCCCTGAAAGCCACCCACAGCAGTCTGAGACCAGGATCAGCTGCTGCTTCCAAGATAGCCACCAGATGGAACCCTTACCTGAATTTAGAAACTTCACATTGGCAGCTGGGAACCTCTGCTGACGACAGGCCCTGCCTTCTAGCTCCAGCCTCTGCTGCTGTAACTGAGAAACGGCTTCACATTCCCGAGAACAACTTGAGGGAGAACCCCTGTACCTGCTCTATTTGATCCTCAGCAAATAGGAACCTTTCTTCAGTGTTTGTGTCCATATCCCCAGCCCTCACTGTGATGCTTCGCATGTAGGCTGAGTGAGATAAGGACAGTTAAAGGCAGAGCTGTCTCCTTGCCAGAGAAAGCTGGGATCTGAGGACAGTATTGAATGCTGGCTCCTCAAAATACCACCAAAACACCGTGTTGATCAGGGTGGTGGAGGATGGCTGGAGTGGGCGTCAAAGTAGGGATATTTGTTGAGATTTTAACGTTTGGTTTAAGGCAGGTATTTTAACATGGGGATTTGTAAAGAGCATGATGTAATAATAGTTTAGGACTGGTGGACACAGCAAGGTAAGGATTTTTGAAGTGAGGGATTTAAGGAGTCTTAGAGTATAAACTCATTTGATACTTCTACTAAAGAGTTGATGGGTTTTTCAAGAATGAAAAATAAAATTACTTGTACTTTTTGTACAAAGCATTCAGGAGTAGTCAGCTTAGATGGATTCAGAGAGTGGATAGTAAAGTCACATTAATGTAGACAGTAAGCTCCATTTCTCCCTCATCCAGCCCAGGTTGCCTTGGAAAGGCTGAGGGCCCCTGGACAGGATAGTGAGCCTTGGTGTTGCTTGGCAGGTGGGAAATCTGGGCTAATGGGTGAGGTCCCTGGCCCCAGCAGAGGAGGATGTTCTAACTGAACCCAGTGGTTCATGAAGCCCTCCCCAAAAGGGAGGAGAGGTGGAAAATAGGTCTTTGTCCTGAGGCCTGGAGCAATTTATCATGGAGTCAGGACTCTTATTCTTGAAACAGGCAATGCAGAGCCTTGGCTCAGAAGGCAGGATGCCTGGGCTTCAGACCTAGTATTGTCACTCTGTGTTGGGTGGCCCTGGACAAGTTTCAGCCCCACTGTGGGCCAATCTCTCCCTATCTAGATCTGAAGACTTAGCTTCCTCATATGGGAATCTACCCATCTGTGGAACCATCATGAAGGTACATTGTGAAAGGGGCTGGCCTTCCTGGCAGTCAGTTTTCAGAGGACCCAGGGTGCAGTCTGGCAGCTGAGTCAGGCTGAGTAGCTCCTGGTCTCTGGGAGCCCTGATTTGGCTCCTGACCTAACTCTCCTGCTCTCCTGACCTGGTTCTGATTCTTGGGTTTTGTCCCCAGGTCTATACAAGCTCTCGGCCTCTGCGTGTGGGGTATTATGAGACAGACAACTATACCATGCCCACCCCAGCCATGAAGCGGGCCCTGCTGGAGACCAAGCAGAGACTTGAGGCTGCTGGCCACACGGTATGGCTACAGAAGCCTAGAAATCCTGGAATGGCCCTTCCTTCAGGGAAGCCTTCCTGGCACCCATGGCCTCCATCCCTTCCTGGCATCCTTGCACCCTGATTGTTTTGTGGTTGGGGATGGGAACTGTGTGCCTGTGGCATCAGTATACAGAGGGCTAATCAGGAGTGTTGGGGTAAGTGACTGATGGCAAACTCAGCCTGTGCTAGGGATGTGTGAGTGTGGCACTGGGAGGGCTTCATCAGCCACAAACAATGGTGCACCGCTGTGCACAGGTTGCTGGGGCCCTGAGATGGTGGGCCAGTGGGTTTTGGCCTGCTCATCTCAGACAAGTTTATGTGTGGCTCCAGGGAGTTTTCGTGGGCCAGTAAGGCTACCTTTGTGGCTCCAGTGAGAGCAACTCTGTGGCAGGGTTGGTCCAGTCCATCCTCAAGGCCACCTGGGCAGTATAGGGGTGGTGGGAGCCAAGGGTTTCTAGGTGTGGAGGTCTTACACATTTCAATCCCTGCAGCTGATTCCCTTCTTGCCAAACAACATACCTTACGCTCTGGAGATCCTGTCGATGGGTGGGATGTTCAGTGATGGCGGCAGCAGCTTCCTACAGAACTTGTGAGTGCTGATGGGCTGCGGGGTCTGTGGTGGGATCAAGACAGAGGTAGACCCAGGAAGAGCAGCAGGGTGCGTTGACCGCCAAGAATGGGCCACTTGGGGGAAGATAGGGGACAGGCCTTAGCTGGACACAGAGGAGGACTAAGCATTCAGAGCAGGGACCACACTGTGTCTCCAACTGCAGGTCGAGCCTGGAGATTCTTTACAAGGGAGACTTTGGAAAGGTGCCGGTGCAAGGGGAGGCTGGGTTGAGCATCTGTGGCCTGGCCCGGAACTGAGCCTTTTGAGAGGTAGAAGATGGGCAGGGAGCTCCCTGTCTGTTTGGGAAAGATTGAGAGACAAGGGCAGGATCAAGCAGGAGGGCAGGAGTCTGGACATCATACTGTGATTCCAGGGTCTTCTGACTTGATCCATGTCCTTCCCTTTCAAGCAGAACCTCAGTTTTCTCTTTTGTAAAGTTGGTGGGTTGGACCAAACCTGCTTTAGGGGACTTTGCAGAGCTCACGTTGAGAGATGCTCATTCCACTTGAATGTTTTCAGACCTTACACATTGACGGGGGCAGGGGACAGGGCTGTGCAGGTGCCTCATGGTGACATACCTGGGCGGACTGGACATCCACCAGTAGCCAAGTGTGGTCTAGGCTTCAGTAGAGGGTGCTACCCCTCACTCTAGCCCTGGAATTGGGGCCCAGGGTCAGCTGTCTGAGACCTTTCCCTGCGATTTAGAGCCAGGGACGGCTCCAGAGACAAGCATCATAGGTGGCCCACTCTGGGCCCCATTGGTGCCTCCAGGCTGGCATCATCAGTAGGGTGCCCTCAGTATCAAGCCCTGGCCAGAGAAATGTTGCCCTCAGTCCTTATTGCTCTGAGCTGAGTTTGCCAGGGAGTGTGACATGGAGTCCTGCCTTGGGGAGCTGCACTGGGGTTGGGGTAGAGCCCAGGCATCCTGAAGAATTAGCAGAAACAAGTCACACATTTGAAAGGCAGATGAAGGGGTTGGAGACCAGTGGTTACTGAGTCTGGTGAGAAGGGAGGTGCATAGGGGTTGCTGAATAGAAAATGGGGCGGGGGGGATGCAGTGGGTGGGGGTAAGCCAGGAGGGATGTCTGGGGTGGGAGTGCCTAGAATGGACCCTTTGTCTCCCAGCAAAGGTGATTTCGTGGACCCCTGCTTGAGAGACCTGATACTGGTTCTGAAGCTGCCTAGGTGGCTTAAAGGACTGGTGGCTTTCCTGCTGAATCCTCTGGTGAGGGCACAGGGAGTGGAAGGGGTGGGGTGGGTGAGAGGCAGTGTCTGGGGCTCTTCCCCTGTCTCCTTAGCCTCTCTTGGTTTGGGCAGGCATGGTCTCTTCTTTTCAGTTCCTACCCAGACTCTTCCTCTCCCCCCATGCCCTATACTCTTTAATCAGCCTGTGTGCTGAGAGAGTGCCAACTTGGGATGCTCTGAGGGGAGCGACTGAGGGAGGGGGCATGGGTGGTTTGGCCTGCAGAAGATTGTTGTCAGCACTTGGCCCAAAGCTGAGTCACTACCTCTGTGTCTGTCCTTCTGCAGTTCCCAAGGTTGGCAGCCTTTCTCAGAGGCATGAAGTCTCGGTGAGAATATTTCCCTGCCCAGATGCCTGCCTCTCTCTTCCTCTGAGCTGAGTTTCTGACAGAAAAGGAGGTGGGAAGTATCTTCAGAGGCGGGAAGTGGCCCAGACAGGGTGGCAGCTCTGTCATTAAATATTTCCAACTTGACTAATGCTGAGGATGGGAGCTCTTTGTTCTTAAGACTATTCAAGCTGGAGAGCTTGAGTTAGAGTCTATTATGTGGTCCCTGTGGCATTCAGATGGGATCTTGAAGTTGTGTTAGCAAAGTCCCAGGTCTGGCTGGAAAGCAAGGGCCTGGGGTGATAACAGGATGGGGGCGGTGGAGAGGAGAAGATTGACCAGGCTGGGGCATGGGTGGAAAGGACCAGGGAGGAGGTCCTGTGGGGCTGGGGAAGGGGAATACTGGGGACCCTGTGAGAGATGCTGCTCTTAGCGATCTGAACTGAACTGAGCTGCACTGAGTCTTACCTGCCCCTTAGTGGCTTGAACAGGAAAAGCAGGGCATAAGCTCTCCCATTTTCAGGCCCTGGCACCCCGTGGACTTGCTCCTTCTCTAATCACCGAGCATTTAGGACCTTTGACTGCTCTGTCTTCTGCTAAGGGTAGCTAGGAATCAGGCCTGGTCTGGTCCTGGCTCTGCTGTGGAGTCACTAAGTGACCCAGCCTAAGTCCCTTTTGGGACCTGATTTTCTCAACCGGGACCATAGGGATTTGAACTTATGCCCTGCACTACTTCCCTCTCAGAGCTCCCATAATGTTGAGAAGGGTCCCTGCAGGAATGAGACCTGGGAGGTATTAAGAATAGGGTTCCGATGTTGCTAATCCTCATGGCTGTGATCGTCATGGCTGGTGACCTCATTTCCTCTGCCAGGTCTACTGGAAAGCTCTGGAAACTGCAGCACGAGATTGAGGTGAGGCCAGAGCTCCTAGGCTAGACTAGGGTGGGGTGGGCCTAGGCTAGACTAGGGTGGGGTGGGGGTGTGGGTAGACAGGGCACCTGCCAGTGGGGTCTCTTGGGCACTGGTCCTACTGGTCTCCTGGGACTTCCTGTCATTCCCTCTTCCCCTCCCTGGGTTGGCCTGCTTGGTCCCTGCTTCCTGACCCCTACTTGCCCAAGTGCACATCCCTGGGGTCTGGGTCATCCAGGGGCTCCTATTCTGGATGCCTCTTCGGCCCTCTTTGCTGTCCTGGCAGGAAGGGTGGTGTCTACAGTTCATGTAGGAGGAGGAGAAATTGATTCCCCCTGGAAGCAGCCATGCCTGTGTGCCCTGAGGACCTCCATCAAGTTATGGCTCAGTTTAGATCCCTGGGCAGGTGCTGGGGCCAGAGCCACCCCAGCCACACAGTGCCCGCTTTGGAGAGTTCATGTAGGGGGCTGAGCCTGAGTGCTTCACCTGTGCTGATACCCTCCCCAGATGTACCGCAACTCCGTGATTGCCCAGTGGAGAGCACTGGACTTGGATGTGCTGCTCACCCCCATGCTGGGCCCTGCTATGGACCTGAATGGCCCAGGCAAGGCCTCAGGTGAGGCCTGCTGCCCCACCCATCCCTTCTCTTCTATGAGTTCAGCCCTGTGCCTGGTGGGACTGCTGGGAAGTAGAAGAGGGTCCCTGGGGGAGGACCTGGCTCTTGGGGGCTCATAGTCTGTCTGGCTGGAGAGATGGGAGTCTTGTGGGATGCCCTGGGAGGGAATGAGCTCCCTGTCCTCCCCACTATTCAAGCTGGAGATCTTGAGTTACAGAGTCTGTGGTTTTGGGGGGTGGTATTTGAAGTCCAGGTGGGATTTAGGTAAGCCAAGAAAATAGAAATAACACTCCAAGTGGGGGCTTTGTCACTCACTCAAGTCTCAGCCCTGGGAGAGAGCCTTTCCCTGTCTGTAGAGACCAGGTGCCATTTCACAGGATGGGAGACTGAGGTGCAGACAGGACAGTTGGCACTGAAAGTCACCGAGCCTGCTCCAGCCACTTGTGCTGTGTCTCAGGGGCTGTCAGCTACACTATGCTCTACAACTGCCTGGACTTCCCAGCGGGGGTGGTACCTGTCACCACAGTGACCACTGAGGATGAGGCCCAGATGGAACATTACAGAGGCTACTTTGGAGATATCTGGGACAAGATGCTGTGGAAGGTGAGGTCGCAGTGACTGGCCTGGCCATCTCCGGGTCTCTCTTCCCCTGGACTCACTCATACCCTAACTCTAGCTGCTGTGGAGGAAACAGTATAAGCACATGTAGTCTTTGCCTCTCTTTTTAAATGCAAAACCCCAAAAGACTGCAGCCTGGCCCTGCTGTGCTGCCTCTCCTCGTCAGCTGGGGTGCTTCCTGGACCCAGGGTGGGGTCCTGCCTTACTACCTTCCATCCTGATCCCTGTATCCCTTGCAGGCCATGAAGAAGAGCGTGGGGCTGCCTGTGGCCGTGCAGTGCGTGGCTCTGCCCTGGCAAGAAGAGTTGTGTCTGAGGTTCATGCGGGAGGTCGAGCAACTGAGGACCCCTGAAAAACGGCCGTTCTGACTGCTGCCCACCCAGCTGCCCAGCTGACTCTGGAGGACCCACTCGATCTGCACCCAGACTGGCCAGGGCACAGCTGCCACCCTGCGAGGAAGTGTTCACCTAGGGGCAGGGGCTTCCTTCTCCTCACCTCTCTAAGAAGCCAAGACCCCCTAAGTCTGGACCTTGCTCCCCCGTCTGGTCCCCAATCTCTGCCCTGACCCCTCCCCATGTGGCAGCCAGTGGGTATGACATGGGCAAAGGCCCACGAACAGTCAAAAATGGTTTCTATCCTGTGTACTTCCTGGCTGTCATTGTTAGGGCACAGAGTTGGAGACTTGACCTTCTAGAGCCTGCCTCCAGCCATGACAGGGGCCTGCCCCCAAACCGCCTCTGGTTCCCATCACATGCAGGTTGGACACAGGCCTCTCAGAGTGGGCGTTGTAGACTGAGCACTTTACCCTTTCCCTCCCCGCACCCCTGCCTTAGGCTGAGTTCTACTTTGCTAGAGACAGTGTCCCTTTGCTTCTTCCTTTTTTTGCTGCTTCCTTCTGCTGAGGATGCCCTTCCTGCTTGTCTACCTTTAAATATTTTGAGGCCTGCCCAGATCCCTCTTTCTCCAGAAGGCTTTCCCTCCTTCCTCTGAACCTCAGAGTAGGTGGCCAGTTTCCCTCAGTTTGCCCCATGAGTTGGACATCTGTGTGTGCATGGGGGTGGAGGAGGGGCTGCCTCTCTTAGCACACTGGCTGTCTTGATGGCAGGGACCCTACTGTGCATCTTAGTCCTTAGTGGCCAGCACAGGGCTGGGTACAAAATAGCAAGGAGTCTGGAGTGCTGACCCTGAGTTGGTGCTTTTGGGGAGAGGAATCCACAGGCCTGGGAAGGTGAGCACCAGACAAGGCAATCTGGTAGAGTGCTCACAGGGCTGGCCAAGGACTATATCGGTTTGAGAAGGCTTCCTGAATGAGGAGGATCTCTGATGAGTCTAGAAAGGTCCCAGAGGCTGAGATAAGGAATGAGGACATCCCAGAGAGAAGGAATAACAGTATGCCCAACGACCAGGATAAGTTGGGTAGAGGAAGGCATGTTAAATGGGCACAGGAGAAGCAGCAAAGATGTATGTGGGGCCAGATCAAGGTGGACTTGTGGGGCCAGTTCAGGAATTTGAATCCTGTCTCAAGGGCAATGGGGAGCTTTTAAATAACCACACAAGTGCAGCGAGGGAGAGTAGACTGGATGGATGGAGGCTGGTCAGGGAAAAGGGGGTTGTTCCATTATCCTAATCTGGGGAAGCGGCCCTGAGGCCTGAGCTAGGAATGTGATCCAGGGGCAGAGAGATCGAGGTGGTTTGGGAAGTGGCAGTTGAGATGCACGTGAGCTGTCTCAGCTCAGTCTACCAGGTTACCTTTCACTGCACTGCATTATCTGGCAGGTGGAAGGCTGTCTCGCTGGTGACAGAGACTTCTTGGCCCTACCAGCAGAGCCAAGCCTTTGTCCCAGCCCTAAATACCCTGCTTGCTGTAGTAGGTGTTTCTGAGCCTGAGCTCTCTGGCACGGTGGGTCCGAGGTTCCTACCTGGCCAACCCAAATTCTTTTCAGGGCTAGCTGCCTGACTTCTCAAATGTCCTGATTTTTCTGCTCCTCCAGAGGGGTTTTCCCTCCAGGTTGCAGAACCAGTGGGGCTGACATTCTCTGCCAAAGACTTCCCTGCGTTGGTGGCACCAGTCTCAGAGCAGGCATGAAGTTCCACATCCCGGGGCTGACTGGAGGGCCTAACCCATGTGAACACCTAGGTGGGGATGACCCAATAGTTGCTGTGCTTTGCCCTGGTTCCTTGTAATTGCTGTGTAATTTTGCCTCATTTAGTGCCAGGAAACTATCTGCAATCTGCCCAGTTTTTTCTTTTGGTTGCTGATACCCTTCTGCTTTCAGATGCGAGGCTGCATTGGGGGCTCCTCTCTTTCATTCCTTCACTGGTCCATTGATTGACCTGTGGAGCCTCTCCATGATCACACCCGCCCTGCGCCTAGAGGTGCTGGAGCTCAGCCAGGACTAGCTCCCATCCTTGGGTTTCTGGGCTTGTGACGGGGGTGGACATTGACACAAATATGTATGTTTCCCAGGTGATCAAGACTGTGGGAAAGGGTGTTAAGGAGGTCAAAAGCTGCTGAAAGACAGGGGAGGTGGTCATTGTGCAAGTACCATTTCCACTGCTCCTCTCTGATCCAAGTCACCTGCCTCTCCTAGACTCTACAATAACCTAATTTGGCTCCCTACGTCCATCATCACCTGTCTCCCAACCTATTTTTCATATAGTAGCCTGAGTAATCACTTAGAAGTGTGTATGAGATTAAGTCACTTCTCTCCTCAAAATCTTCCACTGGCGTCTCATCCTACCAAGAATAAAATCCTGTGTCCTACAGGGCCCTGTGTGAAGTGACCCTTGCTCACCTCTCCAGCCTCCCCTTGGGTGTCTCTTCCTCCAGCCACACAGGCACCTTCAGCTGGTCCATGAGTCACAGCCTCAGTGTTAGCTGTCCCTGTGCTTGGAAGACTCAGCTCTAGTGTCACCTCCCCTAATCACCCTCTGGTTAAACAGCTTCTCTGACACTTGTGTTGTCCTTTGTACTTTATAGCATTATCATTATCTGGAATCATGTGATTTTTTTTGGTCTTGACCCAAACACTCTTTTTGAGAGCTGTGCTTTGTCTTGTTCATCCTTGACATGTGGAATGGTGCTTATAAGGTGTTCAATTCTATGAACATTAAGGGAGCATCATCTAGGGTCCAGGCTCTGTACTGGGTGCTGGGACTGCAGTGATGAATGAGACAGATGAGGTTCTTGTCCTCTTGGAGCCTACATTCTGGAGAATATTTGCTGAATGACGGGAGGAAGGGAGGTGGCTTGTGTTAGTGAAGACCCTAGCTATTTAATGCACGGAGTAAAGAGCTGACTCTTGATCAGGTAAAAGGGGGATGGGTGTATTTAATGACATTTACCAAGTACTTACTACAATCTATTTACCTTCTGGGCACTTAATAGTCATGTCATTTAATCCACTTATTAACTGAATTACAGTTGTCTTCCCATTTTATAGAAAGGTGTCATACCTTGCCCAAGGTCCCACTGCTGGAAGTGAGGGAATTAGAATAGTAAACTGGATCAGTCTATGTCAGTGCCTATGTGGTGAGCTCTTCCTGGTGTCCCATGACGCTAAGGCACAGAGGAGTGACAGCATTATCAACCTCCTCTTCCCCTCTGGCCACTGGTCCAGCGGCACCAAGACTCTCTAAGTCATGTGGCTACTGCCTGCTTTCAGCTTTTTCTCCTTTCCTGGATTCACTGCCACAGTTCTTGCCTGGCCTTCCCCATCTCCAGACTAATAACAAATTGTCCGTCATATGGCAGTTGGATGACCTTTTTACGTTTTTTAAAAAAACATCAGACATGATCAATTTATTTCTCTTTCATGTACCTTCTGTTTATGTTGCCTGATTCGCAAGATAGACGAGTGGTAGTGGTAATAGCTTTCTAATAGTTTATCTTTTTATCTCAGATTATTATTCAATGTTCTGATTATTCAATGTAAAAATAAAACAGAACACAGCAGCTTAACAAAAATCACAATTCCTTAAGTCCGGAATTCAGGCAGAACTTAGGTAGGTAATTCTTCTGTTCTATGTGCCATTAACTGGAATCATTCTTCAATGATACTCAGCTGACAGATGACCTAGTCTGAAATGACTACAATGACCTCACTTACATGTCTGATGCTTTGGCGGGCAGAGCTGGTAGGTGGGCTCAGTGGGGCCCTTCACCGTCTCCATGCAGACTCAGGCCCTCTCTGCATGGTCACTGAAGCAGGCTAGTCAAACTTTTGGCGTGGCCGCACAGAGCTCCAAGAGTGAGCATTCTAAAGGGCCTTTCTAGGAGCTACAAGTCTTATTGTGATCTAACTTCAGAAGTTCATAACATCCTTTCCAACATATTCTATTGAGCCAACAAGTCATTAAGGCCTGGCCAGGTTCAAGGAGAGTGAGGAATGGACTATACCTCTCAAAGGGGGAATGGCATGTGCATACAAGGAGCTGAAGGACTTGACGGTGGTCCTCTTAGGTAGAAGCTACCATATTCAGGAAATGGGTGACGTTAGTAAACGTAAATTTGAACACACTTAGGACCTTTAGTATCACTCTCAGTCCAGACTCTTGACAATGACCTACAAGGCCATGCTTGATGTGTGTGCTGCTGACCACTTGTCCCTTCCCTTCCTGAGCGCACACATCCTGGCCACAGGACCCTCAGATGTTGCTTGGGGCACTGTGCACAGCTCCCACCTCTAAGCTCACTGTGCTCTCTCTGCCTGGAATGCTCTTATTATGTCTCCACCTCAAGAATTCCCACTTATCCAAGGCAAGGATTGTCCTCTTAAAACTGTCAGGTGTGTTGAAAGGGCTTATTTGTATACCTTTGAAATACAAAGTACATGTGCATGTCTGAAAATCCATTGAGTCTTCATAATAGGATTCAACATCTGATAGGCTGTGGAGTTAATAACTATCTCACTGGAAAAAAAAAGAAACAGGCATCATTATTTCTACTTTATAGCAAGGGAAACTGAAGTTGAAAGAAGGGTACTGATTTACCTAAGACAAAAGAACAAAGAAGACATGAACCCACCTGCCTGACTCCAAACTTTCCTCATGTGGACAAGCATTACAAGACTGTGTGCTAAACATCCTCTGGGTGCCAGGTTCTCTGCAAGGTAAAGCACACTCACTGGAGATAGAAGCTACTTCCATGCACTGTGCTTCTTTGCTGGTATCTGTTTATAGGAGGTGCCAGTCATGTCCCTGTGCACCCTCCTTTTCTCTCCCCGGGGTTGTGATGTTGGGTTTCAGGACACAGCCATGGTACTTGCCATTGTCCCTGTTGAACACCATCTTTTAGGGTCACTGCAAGGCTCCAGACTATTGAAAGCCTTTGGAATTCTGCCACTGTTGCCCACTCTTTCTGCTCTGCCTCCCAGCTTGTCCAACCACAAGTCTGAGCACTGGACCCTTCCAACTTCATCCAAGTCACCAATAAATATATGGATCAGACCAGGGCCAGGAAAAGAGCCCTGGGGTGCGTCACTCCAGATCACCCAACAGGGCAGCCTGATCTGGTGCACCCTTAAGAGAAGGCCATACAGCCCTGACGAGGTGGCTCAGTTGGAGCATTGTACACCAAAAGATTGTGGGTCTGATCCTCAGTCAGGACACCTACCTAGGTTTCAGGTTCAATCCCCATTTGGGACACCTGCGGGAAGCTGCTGATCAATGTTATTCTCTCATATCGATGCTTCTCCCTCTCTCCCTCTAAAAGCAATACATATATCCTTGGATGCAGATGAGAGAGAGAGAGAGAGAGAGAGAGAGAGAGAGAGAGAGAGAGAGAGATTGCGAGCCAAAGAATTAAGTTCTACGCCTCCCAACCAACCTTGGCTTGGTCCTTCCAAATTTCCCGCAGATAGCTTGGGAGTGGTGACACTGGATGCCTTAGGCAGGGGAGGTCATAGTTAATAATGATATGGTGTATGCCCTTGTATGGCCAGCACCCAGCATAGTGCCTGGTACTCAGTGGGTACCAGCAGAGGCTTGTTGAATAGAGGAATGGGTGGCTTGTTATTAGAGAACCCATTTTGGCCTCTTCTGATTATATCCTCCTCTTGTCCCCAACAGGACATGTCCCAGTCTCTCCCTGCCCTTGGCCCTTTTCTCTTTGTCTCTATTTACTAATATAATCTTGATCAGTACCCATAAGGGCAAATAACTCCCAGTTTATATTCAACCTATGGCTTTCTCCTGGTCTGCAAGTCTTCATCCAGCCACTGTCCCCTAACTCCCTACCCCTTCCATCCCTCCAATAAGTCTTTTGAATTTGTCTCACAGTGCGCTCAGGGAAAACAATCAGAAACAGTCCCTGCCTGAATGGGGCTTTCATTCTGCTAGCAAACATACATCAAATGCATAATTACCCAAAAACACTTGTCAGAAGAGCAATAAAGCAGAATCACCACTTTATTTATTTTATAAGATTAAACCAAGTGGGACTTGATCTGGCCTGGGGTGTCAGGGAATGCTTCTGAAGGAAGTGACATTTAAACCAAGATCTGCATTGGCACAGACGCCAAGGAATGAATGTATTTCAAGAAGGGTGGGGGTGAACTTCAAATGCTGCTGATTTAACTCGAAGGAGACCCTTGGGATGATTTGAGCATAAGCAGACTGGATTGGGTGGAGAAGCGAGTGAAAGGCAAGGAAGTAAAGGCAGCAAGTGTGCATAACTTGAGAAGCTTGGCTAAGAAGGGGAGGAAAGATGTAAGCATAGTACTTATGAAGGATGTAGGTTTGAGAGGATTTTTTTTTTAAGATGGGGGGACTTATGCATGATAAACGCTGCTAGAAGGAGCTAACAGAGATACAGAGGTAGAGATGGGAATGGAGGGCTCAACCCTTGTATCACTCCTTCATTTAAGACGTAAATTGATCACCTGCCATGTGTCAAGCACTTTGAAAAAGGCTGACAAAGCCCTGTTTGGGGGGAACTTGTTTTTTTTAAGGAGGGAGGCAAGAGGGACAAACACATAGGCCATTTCAGCCTCTGGGAGTGCAATGAAGAAATAAAATGGGGTGATGTGGCAGTGAACACGTGCAACTCAAGAAAAAGTGACATGCTCCGGGCTGGGGAACTGTGGTAGTGACTCAGATGCCAAATGGCCCACGGGACCTGAGTCACGAGGGCAGTGCCGGCCGCAGTGCGGGAGGTGGGCTGTGGGGGAAATGTCAGAAAAGAAGGGGGAGGGCAGGGAGAGCGCACTGGCAGAAAGGTTAGTTCCAGAGGCCCCTTAGAGGTGGCAAAGTCAGAGTCTCAGAGGGTGGACGACCTTGGGGTTACTCTTTATGTCATGACCAACAGGTCAACTGCTGCCTCCACATCTGGCCCTGGGTGACCCTCAGATGCTTGGACTCAACATTATTAGCCACAAACCCATCTCCGTCCCACCAAATCTGCTGCGTCTGACGTGGCAGTCTTGAGAGAGGAGTCACCATTCCCCTATCTCAGTAACTGGCAGCCTCAGTGGTGACAGCTCGTTCCTCTCTTCCCCTCTGAGACGGAGGACTGGGCTGAAACATCCGAAAACAGTGGAAGGGCTCATGCACCAAGTCCCTCCTGCCCTACTGCTTTACAGCTTCCCCATCCTTTCTGTCCCTCCTCCAGGAAGTCACCTCCACCTCTACCTCCTCATCTCTCCCCACCGCAGACTCCTCTTCACTGCCCTCCCTGCCCATAGGGAACTCCTGGTCCAAGGAGAAAAGGGATGAGTCTGGAAGAGAGAACCAATAGACTGGGAAGCTGGTATCGCAGGATCAGCAGGATGGTCTTGCTTTGGGAGTTGGGAATGAAAGCTCGCCTTGGGTGACGGGGCAGGGGTGAGGGCTCTGTGCTCCTCACTTCCTTGCATCATCTCTCCTAGGACAGATGCCTTCTGAGCCCTGCCTGCTCCTCCAGGTGTCCTTCCTTTCTTCTCTGCCTGGGCCCCAGACCCCCTGGAGTGAGCTGCTAATCTTGGGCACACATGGCTTTTTCAGTCCCCCTGTCCCATGAGCCATATTAAGGGAGTTGGCAATGATCCCGAAAGCAACAGGAAACCATTACTGGAAACTGGCAGCAGTCAGACTAAGGTGCTGGTGTCTGATGGGTGGTACAAGGGAAGAGCATGGGAAGGAGGACTGGTCAGAGCCTGGTCACCTCTCCACCTGCAGGCTTGTCTGTGTCAAGCCTCTTATACTGAGTGGCTTGAGGGACAGGGGACTTTGTTCCCAGGAAGTCCAGGTGGAGACAAGAACCAGCCGGGAGAAGGTGGTGTCCTGCCAATCCCAGGGCTTCTCACATACGCTCCCAGATGTGGGAGGGTACTCTCGTGGGGCGGCTTACAAATAAGAGGTGATCTCGAGGAAGCAGTTATTGAATCCACAGAGTCCCCACAATGCCTGGGATGGCTTTGCTGTCTTACCCGCTGCTGGGGCTACTCCTGCTGACCCTGCTGGGGGCTGCCCTGTTGGGGGCTGCCCTGCTTCTCCGACAGCGTGCTCCAGCACGGAGAAAGATCCCCAGGGCACAGAAGCGTAGGGAGACAGCGCTGCAGCAGATGGCAGCCCTGGCACAGCGTCTCCGGCAGCAGGTGAGTGAACATCAATCCCTGGAGCCCCCCAGCCCCAGTCCCAAACGCTGGGTCCTACCTCAGGGCATACCCCTCCCATTGCCTCATCCCCCTCAGAGGACAGGGAGACTAGGGGAAAGTCCCTCATCCCAGCTCTCCCCACGCTAGATCTTTGCGTCATTGTCAGTTCCTTTCCATCTATGTCCTTTGAGCCCCTTTAGGTTGGGAGCAGTGTGTTTTCTCTGTTCTTCCCGTGCCTGGTGCACAGCTCAGTAACATGGTAGTATTCACTGGGTTTTTTGTTGAGCTCAAACAAACTGATGGAGGAACTGGAGGCGGCTGGACAGGTTTCTTTCAGCTCCTGAACATGCCCAAACCACACTGAAACAGGAATGCTAGTCTACATATTCTCCCTCCCATCGCCTGCCCCATTGGGTTCTGTGACTGTTTGCTGAAAACCTGACAGATGCAAAGCACAGGGGGTCACTAGAAATGGGGTCCTCCCAGGACACTATGTGACTTAAAAGAGGGCTTTGACAGCATGGATGGGGATATGTCAAGGCATTGTGATAGCCATTGTGGCCGGGCTGGGATTTGCAGGTGAAGTGACTAATCCACGGATGTGTCAGCTAAGCCAGCCTAGAGTGGCAGAGAGAAGGGTGGGAAGGAAGGGCATGGAGACAACCTCACACTGTGCCTTGGGTTCACTGTATGGCCTGGAGGATGTGACATACCCCTTCTGGGCCTTGGGCTCCTTGACTGCTCCAGAAGGGTGGGCTCAAGTATCTTCAAGTCCTCAACTTTGGTTGATGGTGGTGATGTCTCTCCGGCAACCCTGGGAGGGGGTTTGGGGAGAGTGCCTGAGGTGCTGTCCCTGTGATCTGGAGTTCCTGAGTGTCCTCTGCCGTCCCCTGGATGGTGATAGATGACCCCAATGGGCAGCTTCTCTGCCTGAGCTGCTGCAGTTCCTGAGAATGTGTATTAATATTAATTGGGGCTAATTAGTTGGATAAATCAATCTGCCCCCAGAGAGCAGCTGCCCCTTCTTAGTTGATAGAGAGGAAATCTGGACTAATGGGGTTGCCGTGGCGAATCAGCATGATGGAGAGGATTCCTGTGTGTGTGCAGTGACCTCCTCTGTGTGTGCTGGTGGGTTTGGGTTCCTTTACTGCCAACACCAGGGCCTGCCTGTGTGTGTCCCCTGCTGGTGTGTTTTGTGTGCTGCTTGTGTTTGGTTCTGCGCCTGTGGTGTGTGTGTCTAGTTTGGTATGTATGTGCCATGTTACTGGTTGGAGTGTATACATCTAGATGTGTTTGGGTCCAAAGGTTTGGTTGAGCATGTTATGTGTGGTCACAGGTCTGATGTGTAAGGACATCTTGTTTGGTGTGTGTCTGGGCATCTGGAATATGTAGCTATGCGGTGGGGTACCTGGTGGTGCTGAGTGAGTCTGGTTGGCTGGGGGAGTGAGTGGAAAGTGTTTGGGGTGAGGTCACCCACGTGACTCCAGCCTCCCCTCAAGGCTGTGGGCCTCTTGGCTCTCAGCACCTATTCTCTCCCCAACAAAACTATACGGGTCTGTCCTGGGCACGTTCTCAGTTGGGTCATCCCTCTGCCAGGAATACCCTCAAGGCCTCAGGTGTCCAGCTTTATGTCCCAGGGAAGTGGGAGGCTGAGCTATCGGTCAGACTCTTGTAGAGTTCAAACAAATCCAATTCATTTCAGTTTAACAAAATTTCAGAGTGCTCCTGTGGATCTTGCCTTCTGCTGAACCTTGGGGACAGATTCATCATTGAGATGAATCTAACATCTGACTCAGACTTGTCTTAAAGATGTTCTCACTCTGGGAAAGGTGTAGTGGAAACAGATGTTTCAACCAGGGTGGGAGGAAGCTCTGCTGAATGCGACCTCAGCCGGATGCCTGTGGAGCTGCAAGACTTGGCAGAAGGGGTGATTTGCTCTGCCTGCAGTAAGTCATGTGGGGAGGGCTCCAAAGAGCTGAGCCTTGCAAGATGTGTTGTTTTCCAAAAGGAGAAATGGCAAGTATAGGTGGTACCAGACAGAGAAAAGCTTAAGATAAGGCAGTGTTTCTGTAGAACACATAGAAAAAATTTTTATTCTCACCTGAGGACATTTTTTCATTGTTCTTAGAAAGAGAGGAAGGGGATGGGGAGAGGGGGAGAGAGAGAGAAAGAGAGAGAGAGAGAGAGAGAAATCAATGTAAGAAACATCATCTACTGGTCACCCTCTTGTAGGTGTGACTGAGGATAGAACCCACATCTTGGGTATGTGCCCTGACCAGGAATGGAACACGTGATGTTTCAGTCCACCAGACAACACTCCAACCGAGTGAGTTACAGAGGCCAGTGTATAGAAAATATGTGTAGGGTCCCCTGGGGGAAACAGACAAGCTGCTCATGGCTGAAGGCTGCTTACCAGGAGGCTCTGGTCACCTCAGGGGGAAATTGGTTGTCCTGAGAATTGAGGATTTTTATGATATTAAACAAGTTTATTCACCTCTTTAGAAATTTAATAATAAATCAGTATACTAAAAACTTTAAAATACATTTTTTCTCCTTTTTTAAAGATTTTATTTATTTATTTTTAGAGAGAGGGGAAAGGAGGAAAAGGAGGGAGAGAAGCAGAAATCAGTTGCCTCTTTCATGCTCCCAAGGACTTGGCCTGAGAACAAGACATATGCTCTGACTGGGAATCAAACTAGTGATCTCTCAGTCTACAGGGTGGCCCTCAATCTACTGAACTACACCAGCCAGGGCTATTTTCTTTGATTCTCAAACCATGATAGAAGGCAGCCAGGTGAATGTGGAGAAGGCAAGATGTCCACGGGGCTATAGGACTTGGCAACAAGGTGTGATTTGTTCTAAACTAAACTATATATTACAACAGTATAAAAGCAATGTAAGTTGAGGCTCAATTCTTTCTTCAAATGATTCTAACCATTTCCAAATAATTTGTTGATATTTTAGAAACCTTGTGAGGATCTTTTGATGTGGCTATGATCTTTGGAAGATGTCCCTCTCTTTCAAAGCTCTCCCAGTTAACTGAGAGTCATTAGATGACTTGCTTGTCTCCATTTTGTTTAGGTTTTTGTTTCCCCCCCCCCCTGGAGTTTGGTTCTGTTCTTTTATTTGGGACACATTGCTTTGTCTCCTAATTTTGACTGCCTTCCTGTGCTTGTTTCTATGTATTAGGTAGAACTGCTATGTCTCCTGGTCTTGGGAGAGTGGCCTTATGTAGTGGGTTCCTCTGGTCACCTAAGCTGGGAACTCTAGGGCCCCCCTATCTGGGGCTGCATACACCCCCCTGTTGTAGCTGAGCTTTGTTTGCTCTCGGCACAACAATGGGAGAGATTTAGCCACAGGCCAGTCGGCCTCGCCTCCAGCAGAGGATCTGCTGTGCAAGGACCCCAACCATGGAGCAGGACTTACCTCAGTGAGGCTCTGATGCCTGAAGAGTCTGCCCCTTGAGTGTATAGCTGGTGGAAGAGGTTGGGTGGCACTCCAGAGTGATCTGAAGCTGTTCACCAGGTGTGCTGGCTCTGGGGCCTCCTAGGAGGTACAGACCAAGATCAGCTGCCCTCTGTGCCCTGTCTAGGGCTACCCAGCATGAGCTACATAGCAATCCGCAGATGGCTGTTGCTTATGCTGGTTTTGGAGGTGCCCAGGACCAGCAAAGCTGTGAACTGAGGCCAACTGCCACTAGTACTGGGCCTGGGATGCTGGGTACTCAGGTACTCAGAGGCCAGATGCTCTGCTTGTTTGGGGTCTGTGAACCTTTGAGGGATTTTAGGAAAGTTCACAGCATAAGCAAAGAAAGGCCATTTGTATTAAAAAGCCACTTAAAGTGGCTCAGATAGGCCTATAGTTGGGTGGACTGGGGTGTTAGGTAATCACCAGGGCCAAACAACTTGTTCAGCCAGGTTGATGGAGGCTTAGATATGGTACCTGCTTGCCAGCTCTGTGTGGGGAGAGTTCAGCAAAGGAACAATAATCTCTGCCAGCACTTCTGTCTGAGAGAAAGCTGCCCTTCCAGCCCCTACCCCAAAGCCAGACAATTTACTTTCTCCCTGTTTGTCAGGCTGGGGAATTTTGAGCCAAGACTTTAAGACAGAAAAACAGCACAGTGAATAGAGGGATTGTGCAGTGTGGCTAGAACAACGGCAGTATATGGGGGGCAGGGGGCAGATAAAAAGGAGGCTGGTGAGATGGACCCTTGGGGGCCCAGGCAGGGAAAGGGCTTAGTGTAGTGCCTGGCACCCAGTAAGTGCTTCATCAAGAAAGCTTCCCCCCCCCTAGAGCCATTAGAGGGTAATGGTGAAGCTGTAGGTGACCTGAGTTTAAGTCCAGGCTCCCTTACTTTTATGACCTTGCTCAAGAGAGTTAACCTCTCTGTTAGTCAGTTGCTTTCATTGGTGACATGGAAACAATAATAAGAATACCTATCCAAGGATTTTTGTGAGAATTTAACGAATTGGTGCAGGCAAAGTATTGACATGCATTGGTTTATCTGAAGATGAACACATGTTATATACTTATATTGAAAGCCTTATAAACTATACTGAGGAGAATGTTGTTGCAACTTTATTCTCAGGGCAACTGGGACCTATGGTTAGGTTTAGACTATATAAGATCTTAAAAGGATCGCCTAGGTCGTAGTAAAGAGGTTGAGCTGGAGGGGAAGACTAGAGTCAGGGAGTCCAGTGAGGAGGCTTTTGAGAAAACTGAGAAACAGGGAAGGTTCTAGGCAGGAAAGAGGCTGGAGAGTCAAAGGTGGGAGATATGAGGGAGGCAAACCCACCTATTGGCAGTATGCATGGCCAAGAGAGTGGTTACTGGGGTCTTATTGCCTGCTGTGGATCTGTGCTCTGGCACTTAGTAGCTGTGTGTCCTTGGGCACACAGCTCTCTCTCTTTGTGTGCCTCAGGGTCCCAACTGGGGCTAAGGAGGACTAAGGGAAGACAGCTTCACTGAGTGTGAGCTGTGTGCCAGATCCTTGTCATGCTTGCCCCTGACAGGAGGCCTGAGGGGCTAGTGTCAGGCTTTTCTTCTTTCCCTGAAGGATCTGGCTCAGAGCAGCTGGCGGGCCTGTCTGCGGTCACCCTCGATGACTTACTAATGATTGACTTCTAGTCTTTTCCTCTCTGAGCACACTTAGGCCATGGCAGGGGAAGGGACCTACCCTGGATCACCCAGTTAACCCGTGGCGTGGTCTTCTGCCACCCATGGTAGACTCTTGTCCTTTCCCAAGGTCAGATCAAGAGAGATGTGGGGACTGGATAAGAAGGAAATGGGGGATGCCGGTTGCTCCCCTAAAGGCAAACGACACAGAATTGAGCATCATTTCCATAACGTTTGAGTCCCAAGATGTGCATATAAAGTCACTCCCACTCTAAATATGCTCCTGAATAGCAATACTAGGGGGCAGAGTCTCCTCTGAGCCAGGTACTGGGAAGGGCATTGGGGAGACAGAGACAGAAAGGAATATGTGTTCCCTGCAGGGCTTTCATGGCAACCTAGAGACAGACCAATAAATGTTTTTCATGCTAAGGGCGAGCACAGGGATGGGTATGCACTGAACATATGGATGTGTGTGTAAATGTGTGTACATTGGAATATGTGGGGTGTGATGTTGAATGTGTGGGAGCAGGCCTGAATGAATCTGTCTTTGATACCTGCCTGCCCCACCCCATCTCTGCAGGAGCCAGACCTGGACCCCAAGCCCATCCTGGAGCTGCCCCTTATGGAGCTGGCCCAGAAATTGCAGGCAGAAGAACTGAGTCTGGACAGTGTCCTCTGTAGCTACTTAGAGGAGGTAAGGGTCAGGGGTCAGAGGTCAGGACTCAAACATGACTCTGGGCTGGTGTGGGGTATGTCACCTGTCATTGTTCTACGTAGAGGAGTTGGGGGGTAGATGTAACTCTGGTGTTGTGGGTAGGTTGGGAGAGTGCTCATGCCACAGTCATCTGTCACTTCCATTCTGCTCTGAGTCAGGGTGTGGGGAGAGGCTGGGATGACTGAATGTCCTGTCCCTGACCTCACCCTGAGCCTTTATCTGGTTTCTCTCAATGTTGCTCAGGCGCTGAAGGTGCACCAGGAGGTGAACTGCCTGACGGATTTCTTGGGGGAATGTGAGGAGCAACTGCAGACATTGAAGAAGCTCAAGAAGAGTGAGAGAGGCCTTCTATATGGGGTCCCCATCAGCCTCAAGGACCCCTTTGACTGCAAGGTGAGCCCTGGGGTATGCATGCACAGGTGTACATGTATATGTGGGTGCATGCATGCCACTGAGCCTGTGAGCACCTGAGTGTGTGACATGGATGCTTCACTGAATCCAGGATGCACAGCTAGAAAGTGGCCAACTGGGACTGAACCGAGCAGTTGCTATCAAACCTGAACCCAAACTCTCAACCACCATGTTCTTCTGCTACCTGTGAATCCCCTTAAAGTTCAGCACTTGTGTGTCAAGAGGATGTGAGAATGAATGTGAGTGGGGGTGGAGAGAGGATGAGAGTCTGTTCATTGGTTGATTCTACCTGACCCCCAAGGACTGAAGTTCATGTCATTTCTGTGCAGGGCCATGATTCTACATGTGGGTTGGCTCAGTACCTGGAGAAGCCAGCGGCTGAAGACGGGGTCATTGTGAAAGTTCTGAAGGCCCAGGGAGCTATTCCATTTGTTAAGACCAACATCCCCCAGACACTGCTCAGGTGTCTGAACTGGGCAGGCTGGGGCAGGGGCGGGGGTGGGGGCAGGGCTGGTGCTGGGTCCAGGTCTAGGTCTGGGGCTGAGGCTGGGGCTGGGCCCGGGGCTTGGCCCAGGGCTGAAATAACAACTTAAAGTCCTGATTCAGAGCAGAGGGCGAGGTGGGACCCAGTCATGGAGACCTCAAGGCTGGAGGTTCCTGGGCAAATCTTTGTGCCCTCTGAGTCTCAGCTTCCTCTTTGTGTGTGTGCTTCATGGTTTCTAAGGGCCCTCAAGTTCAGAGTTATTGAAAAGTTACATGTCTGTTTCTCTCCCAGCTTCTGTCTCTAATTGTTCTTCTCATCCCTTATTCTCTCTCTTCCCTACTCAGCCTTTGTCATACCCTTTTTTATGAGAAAGCTGTTCCTAGTTCTGACAGCAGAGCTGTGGGTTCCTTGCTCCTTATTTTAGGTGTGTTTAGTGTCTGTTCTGAGTCTTTCCTGCAGCAGTGGCTTCTCACCTCAGCCAAAAGGGAAGCCAGGAAGCCTTGCCCCCAGGGAGGAGCTCATGAGTTGAAGCAGCCCTGTGTTGACTCCTGAGGGTGGTTGGCTCCTATTTGGGGAAGGACCAACTTTCCCAAATTAAACCTTCAGCTTCCAACTCCTTTTCTTCTGCTTCCTTCAGCTTTGATTGCAGCAACCCCATCTATGGACAGACTCTGAACCCTTTGAACCTTAAGAAGACTCCTGGAGGGTCCACGGGGGGTGAAGGAGCTCTGTTGACGGCAGGGGGTTCCATCCTCGGCATGGGTACTGACACAGGTGGCAGCATCCGCATACCATCCAGCTTTTGTGGTGTTTGTGGCCTGCGGACCACGGGATACCGCATCAGGTACTCAGTGGTGGTGCTGGAGGTGGGTAGGCTCAGCCCAGCCTAGAGGAACTAGGCATCTGGGGGAGCAGAGGGGCCAGCTCCACACATGAACTCTTATTCACTCAGCTTAGTACTAGGGGAAGTGGGTGGAGATAGAAGGGTTTCAAATAACTCCTGCCTCAGCCACTGCTAAACATACTATGTCTGGGACAGGTGGAATAGACCTTCCACTTATTCATTAACTCATTAATTTATCACTTCACTCTTCAGTACATTTATCCATTGACTTATCCTTTTTCTTATTTATTCATTGATCCATCCATTTATCCATCTACCCATCCTTCATCAATTTACCCACCCATGCAGTCATCATCCTAGTCTCTATTCATCAATTTCACAATTCATCTACCATTTTATTTGTTTAACAAATATTGAGTGTTGACTCTGTGCCAAATACTGTATATTAAGTACTTGGGATACATCAATGAACAAAAGGGACAAATATCGCAGCCCTTGAAAAACTTACATGCATCTTTTCTTCCATTCTTTTATTCATTCATTTATCCATTTATCTTATCCATTCACCCACTCATCTCCTCATCCACTAATCCATATTTGCCTTCATTCACCCATCTCTCCATTCATATTTTCACCTTTCCATCTATCCTACATTCATTCATGTATCTATCTATCCATCCACTCATTTTTCAACCCCACTCTGAGTACCTACTTTGTGGTGACTCTGTGCTGGGGACACAGAGCACTCTCAGACCTAGTCCCTGCCCTTATTAGACCTTCAAATGGCTTAGACAGAAAGTGATCAGGGTTGTAAGAGAAGGTCAAAGCTTGTGGGAACTCACAGGATGAAACCAACATTTTCTTCTTATTAAAGGCCTAGACTTTGAAGTTTTGGAGGCAGGGAAAGGAAAGGGAAGGTTTCCTGGAGGAAGCAGCATTTGAGCTTGGTTTTGAAGGATGAACATGCATAGAAGGTGTGGAGTCTAGAAGTCTGTAACTATAAGCAACTTACTTTGCTTAGAGCAGTATGTGTTCATGGAGGAGCTAGAAGAGGAGGCTGTGGAAGCTGATACTTTATAGAGTCTTGAAGGGCAGTCAAAGAGATCAGATGTTATGCTATGGGTAATGGCAAGTTATAAGAAGGTTGAAGCGACTCCTATTCCTTTGTGCTGAGCCCTGGGGAGTGCCTTGGCTGGGTGCTCAACCTCTTTGGCACCCAGGCCCTTCCCTTCATGTGCTGAGATGGGTTCTTGGTGGGTTGGGTTTTGCAGCTACACTGGAGTTGCCTCCGCTGTGAAGGGCAAGAAATCAGGTAAGCTCCTGTGGTCACTCCTATTCACAAAGCTGCCAGTCTTTCTCCCCGAGGACTTTTCACTCCGCCCCTTTCTCAGACAGATCAGACCCACTGGTGATAAATGTATCTGGGAGAAGGGACTTCTTGGCTTCCACCTGGCCTCCACTAGCCCAGTGACCTTTGCCCCACTGAGAAGTGCTTCCTGTTATCTAGCTTTAATCTTTCCTACCAGTCTCTTGATGTTATGCCCCAGATAGATTCTCCCTCCAGGCACCAGAGCTGCTTTGGCAAGTTTACTAACTCCATCTTGTCCTCAATCCCTGGTCTAGGATGGCCCCAGGAACACTTCCTTTGGCCTTGATCGTGGCCCTGGGCCCCACCCTCTGAGGCCAGGCTGTGGGGGTCCCCAGAACAGAAGTAATGAAAGATGTTTACCTCCCTCCCCTCTTCTCTGTGCAGTGATCACCGTGGCTGGCCCCTTGGCCCGGGATGTGGACAGCCTGGTGCTGTGCATGCGAGCCCTGCTGAGCAAAAACATGCACCAGCTGGACCCCACTGTACCTCCCATGCCCTTCAGGGAAGAGGTAAGCCGGGTGAAAGAGCAGGCCTGGAGGTCTCCTGCCTTTCCCAGCCCTCAGTTTTCATTGACCCGTCTGCCATCAGGGCAATCTCTCTGAATACCTCCTTTCCTAGCCCAAGGTACAGTGAGCAAGATGCCCACATGCTCAACCTTGTTCAACTCCCTACACACATCCTGGTACAATCACCCTGTGAACATTGCCTGACATCCATTCTTTGCCTCTATTGATTTCTCCATCCTCATCTTCTCCCAATAATTCTTTAGCTTAAAAATATTTGTATCTGTTCATCTACTTACCTTCACATCCATTCAACTCCAACTATCTCTTTATCCATTGATTCCTCTATCCATTTAACTCTCTGCCCACCCACCCATTCACTTTCTTATACAATTACCCACTCACTCATTTATAACTCTATCTACCTATTCGCTCCATCCACCCAATCACTCACATCCTCATCCACTTATTATTCTTCCAGGGGTTTCTCCAGAGGACCTAGAGCTTGAAAAGCATACAGGGAGGCTCCAAGGGGATCTTGGAGATCCCCCTGGGTAAGGCCAGGTATGGCCCAGGGCCTCAGTCCACAAGTCTGGCTCCTGGAGAGAGTGAGATCACCTTGTCCCCAGACCAGTCTCCCCTATTCAACCCGTCTTGCCCACAGGTATACTCCAGTAACCGGCCCCTTAGGATTGGCTACTATGAATCAGATGGCTACACTGAACCATCTCCTAGCATGCTCAGGGCTGTGAGGCTCACCTCCAGGCTGCTCCATGATGCAGGACATGAGGTAGGCTTACTTAGCCTTGGGGAAGGGAGGTGCGGGGTGGGGGGCAGGCTGGACTGGTGAGGATGATGGGCTGAACCATTCTTGGAGAGAAAGAAAATTATACCTGAGTTTGAGCTGCTGAGATCATTGTGTTTCCCCTAAGCTTCCTAGAGAAAATGGATGGGGTAGATGTAGGGGGCAGGGGGAGGAGAGCCCACCTTATGGAAAAGACATCAAGATTTTGTGCCTTCTCCTTTCAGTGGTGGGGACTCAAGGACTCACTCCTAAAATTCCTATAGCCTCAGTTTCTGTTGGCCTCCATCTAATGGCTGTAAGGATCTTCCTGTCTTCAAAGTCCTCCCCATCCTGCCTGGACTCTCATGCCCCAGTGGGTTTTCCTGGCACTGCCTCCCCTTTGAGGGGAGGCCACACATGTACTATGTGATCCTGGGCCCTTCTCTTAACCCCCTGAGTCTCAGTTTTCTACCACAAGGGGCAGCTGCGAAGATTAAATGAGTGCACATATGTAAAGTATGCGGTATGGGGCAGGGTTTCAGTGGAGCAGGCAGGATGTAAGGACTGCCTGAATTCCCATCATATCTCTTTAAGGGAGCGGGCATGACACCCACCCGCAGGCCTCCCATGCCCTGCTGCAGAGCTGAGGCAGGATACTAGGAGCACTGTGGTACCCTCTCCTTAAATCCTGAGGGATGCGAACAGAACGCAGGGCTGAGTGGGAGAAGCTCTGGGCCCTGACTCAGCCTCTACCCCCACAGATCATCCCCTTCTCCATCCCCCGGGTAGAGTATGCCTTACTACATCTGTACAATGAGGGTCTGTTTGCCGATGGAGGGGCCACCATTCTTGAGAAGCTGTACGGTTTGTTAGGACTCAGATGCTGGGCATGGTGGAAATGGGGTGGGGGAGGGGACCTGTGGGTCTGGGCTGCGGGGGACGCCAATGATTAACTGTGTGACCTTAAGCAGCAAGTCATCTACTCAGGCTTTGTCTTCAGGGTGCACATGCTTCAGGAGGGGGTGGTGGTGGGAACAGAAGTGTTTCTTTGGGTCTGACCTCCCTCCATAGCTTATCTATGGAGAGGGAGTTGGATGGGCACGGGAGCCAGTTGATGACTGAAAAGCTGTAACTGACCAGGTATGTGTCTGTGGCTCCTCAGTGAGGGGGACATTGTGGACCCCACCATGAAGACGTTAGTCAGCTTCTTCCGCCTGCCGGACCTAGTGAAGTACTTCTTGATCTGGATCCTAAAATACATAGTGAGTATGGGCCGAGGGCGAGGAGGGATTGAGAGGAGGTGAGGCCTGGAGAGGGAGGAGCTCAGAAAGAGGAGGAGGACTGGCTCAAGGAGTGGGACAGGGTCAGAGAAGAGCATGAGACCCAGAGAATATTGGTGGCTCAGAGCTGGGTTCAAGAAGAAAAGGAGCTTGAAAGAGGGGAATGGAGGCCAGAACAGAGGAGTGTTCTTGAGGCTGGGGGTGGGAGGGGGGTTAGGCTTCAGGGAGGCCCTAGGGGGAGGGCATCTCAGAGAGAAGAGGAGATTTCAGAGAGAGGGGAGGGGAATGAGAGAGGAGTGAGGGCCCAGAGGAGGCTGGGCTCAGGCCTGAGTGAGGAGGTGGTGGTGGTGGCTTGTGGAGGACTGGAGGTCTCCAAGTCAGCGTACTGAGCAGAGTTGCTCTTGCTGGACCCCCACCCACGGCAGGTTGGCATTGCCTCATGGTTTCTGAAGTTAGTGTCCCTCTCTCTCCCTACCTCTAGGAGCCCCGAACTGGCAAGAATTTGGAAGGGAATATGGGAGTGGGGTAAGTGGTTGAGTTTCCTCAGGTTCAGCTCACAAGGATTTTCCATGGAGTGGTCATAATTGAGTGAGGGTCATGTGGTTAGAGTTGGCATTCACTGGGGGCAAGAGCTATGTACACTTTGGGATCTAATTAAGGTTTTAGGGTCATGCCTGACACTGTGTTAAATTTAGACTTCTGAGTGTCATTGGGATTGGGGCTGATTTGGGGTTGGGGTTTGATCTGCAGTTAAGCTCTGAATTCAAGCTAGAATTGGGTTGAGTTGTGGGAAAATTTGGGCCTGAGTTAAGGTTAGGTTTGGGCTGGGGTTGAAGTTGTTTTGAATTGAGGTTGGGGTTAGGGTTGGAACAGGGGTAGGGATGTGGTTGGAAGAGGATTCTGGTTTGGGCTTGGGTTTGCTCCTGGGTTTGGCCTGGCGGGGCTTGGAGTTGAGGTGCTGGTTGGAACTGGAGCTGGAGTAGCCTGAGAGCTGGCCTGAGGCCTCACAGGGGAAGGACGAAACCTGTAGTTTTGGGGGGGAGTCTGTGAGTCCTTGGTGGCTGGTGATGGTGGTGGAGTATTGACCAGAGGATGTGTATTCTTGGGAACACTGGACAGGCAAGGTGTCTTGGCCAGGGGACAAGACACAGGGTCATTCCCAACCCATCAACTGATTTGCAGCCTGCTTCTTGGGCAACATGTCCCATTTGTATAAAAGAGGGTCCTCCCATGCTGATCTTTGGACTTCTCAGTCTTCCTCATTCCCCCAGGACACCCAAGAAACTGTGGGAGCTGCACACGGAAACAGAGGTGACATGTGCCTGGCGAGACCTCGAGGGACTGCCAGAGCAGGGACAGCAGACACCTGGGTGGTGACAGGAATGGCCAGATAGAGGGCAGGGCTCTGTCCTGGCCTGCAAGGGAGGCCAGGATGGATCCGGATGGGAAGGCTTAGTGACCTAGGAGGTTAATCTAGCCTGTCTCTCTGGGGCCAGGATGATCTGTTGTCCCCAGATCACTGCAGCTTGAGACCTCCCTTCCCATCCCTTTACCTTGGCACCTGGTAAGACCCTGACCCTCCCCAGATATCTCAGTCTGTATCTCATAGCTTGGGAATTCTTCCCGGTGTCTAACCCCACTCAGCCTGGCAGCACCTTATCTTGTCCTGAAAATAGTGACCTCTGCTGGTTTTACCCCTCCTGCTCCTATTGTCCCTGTAGGAATATCAGCAAGAGTTCATAGCCAAATGGAGGTCCTTGAACCTGGATGTGCTGCTGGCACCGTCTCTGGACCCTGCCTTCTATATAGGCTATCCTTCCAAATCAGCAGGTGAGAGGGCACTTGGTCCTGATGGGGTTGAGACTGGGAGTCTAGGTCTTCTAAGTCCTGCCACAGCCTCTGTGACCTTGATCTTTCTTTTCATTCACTTAAAAATTTATTTTTCTTAAATCAAGATAAAATTCAGAAAACATAAATTCATCATTTTAAAGTATACGATTTAATAGTTTTTAGTATATTCAGAATGTCATGCAACCACCACCATTATCTAATTCCAGGACATTTCCATCAACCTGAAAAGAAATATTGTACCTGTTAGTAGACACTCTCAGTTTCCATTCGCTTTTAAAATGAACTTTATTGAAGTACAAAGTTTCCTCAACTTAAGATGTGGTTATGTACCAATGAACTCATTGTAAGTAGAAAATACCTAAGTTGAAAGTGCATTTAATCTCTTGAACATCATAGCTTAGTCTAGAAAGTTTCTGCTCAATGTATATCACTTTCGCACTCACAAAGTTAAAAAAACTGTAAGTCAAACCATTGCAAGTTGGAGACCATCTCTATAACCTATATGCAATAAAATTCACAGAGAGTGCAATGTGATGAATTTTTAAAAATGTGTATGGTTGTATAACCACCACTATAATAAAAATATATAATATTTCCATCACCAACCAAATTTTTCTCACATCCCTTTGCAATTTATCTTAACCTTAGCCCCTGCAACCACTAATCTGCTTTCTCTCACTATAACTTTAACTTTTCTAGGATTTCATATAAATAGAATCATAAAATATGAGGATTCTGTTTCTGGCTTCTTTCACTAAGCGTATGTATTCACTCTTAACATGCTTTCTGCTGCCCCACTTCTAGAAATGTCTTTAGCTCACCTGAAATGCATAGGGCAGTGTCTGAGACATTGCTGGCTCCCACGCCCAGAACAGGTGCAAGTCTAAGAGGTGATGTCAATGCAGAAGGAAAACCCGCCTCAAGCATCGAGTCCTCTCCCCTGGGTCCCCTCACAGGGGCTGCCCAAAGGCACATCCCACATCTGGCTCTGCTCTCTGATATCCTCTGTCAACATCATTACCTGTGATGCTCACTCCTTGCACACAGGTGGCTGTTGCAATGGAGATGCCTTTTCAATTCAGGATGGCATTGCACACCCCAGCCATCTTGGAGCCCAGTGTACTGGAGGGCATGGGCTGAAGCCTCGGCTAATTACTAGCTGTGTAGCTTGTGAAAAGCCTCCTAACCTGTCCGTCACCTGGGTTTCCTCATTTGTACTCAGGAAATAGTAATCCCCACCTCACAGGGGTGGAGAGCATTCAGAGAGGCAGCAGCGTAGAGAAGCCAGCACAATACCTGGCGCCGAATATTTTGACAATGAGGATTCCCCTTCCCTCCTAGCAGTTGTCAGACGACTCCCCGGCACTGAACTGGCTATTGCGAGCCCACAGGGTTGCAGTTCTGAGAAGGACCCCGAGGGGGCGCTTACTCACATTTCCCCCGACCTGTTGAGTCTTCAGAGTCGGGATTTCCTGAGCTAACCTGGATCTTTCTACAGAGAGCGTCTCTTACACCGGACTGTACAACCTGTTAAACTTCCCTGTTGGCGTGGTGCCTGTTACGACCGTGACACTACAGGACCAAGAAGAACTGGCCTTCTACAAGGGGTACTACGGAGACAAAAGTGACAGAAATTTCGTGGAGGTCAGTTTCCCTCTTATCTCTGCACCCTCTCTGCTCCTCACCCTGCCTCCATTACTGTGTAACAATGGGACTCTACCTTTCTCTGAGCCTCAGTTTCTTTGTCAGAAAAAAATGGGTATTACAAAAAAATCTGCTTTGCAAGGTTACATTAAAGGTTAAATTAAAAAAGATGGAGGCAATTAACATAAGGCCTAGTATGTAGCAAGTGTTCAATAAATGCTACTATTACTAACTCAGAGGTGGCTTAACAAAAAGGAACATTTCTATGGGCCTATTTAATGCAGGGTCTAAAATAACAACCCTGACTTGGGCGAGAGAGAGAGAAAGAGAGAGAAGGAGAGAAAGACTGACTCTGAAAAGTATGCATATGTCTGACATTAAGTAACTTATTTGTCTGGAAATTGATTTTAGTGGTAGAGTTACCCTGTGGAACTGCTGATCTAAATTCTGAGAAAATAGTAGTAATGATACTATCTAATGTGTCTTGAGCTCTTATTCTGATCCAGGAGCTATTTAAAAGTTATATCTATATATGTATATTTGAAGTGTATATATATGTGTATGTATGTATATGTAAGTATATATATGTGTGTATGTATATATATATTTTCCCATAACTATCCTGTGAGGTTTTGCAAATGAGGAAATGGAGACACAGACAGGTTAAAGGACTTGACCAAAGCCACGCAGCTAGTTGAAGTGGAAGAGCTAGGACTTGAAGCCACATGACCTGTTTTGAGAGACAAAGGCAGATAAAGGCTTACATGATATCATCATAAAGCAGCGATTTTCAACCTTTTTCATTTCATGGCACACATAAACTAAGTACTAAAATTTGGCAGAGCATCAAAAATATATTTTTTGCTGATTTGACAAAAAATAGGTATAATTTTGATTGATTTATAAAATAAAATTGTAGTAATCAACTACCCTTTTTGCACTAAAGTGACTTTTTAAAAAAATCAGGTGCCTATATTTGTATATAAGCATTTCCGATACTAAGAATTAACCAATCAGACACAACCTTATTATGCGACATGATCACTAAGATGCAACTTTATTATATGACTTATATAGTTATGGTTCAAGATAGGGCGTTCACGCCAGATGGCTAATGATGTGTTGGTTGTTGTCATTTTTCTTTGACAATCTAAAGGAAAAGAAGTCAGGGTCCCTGACTAAAGAGTCTGGTCTGGCATGTTTTAAAAATTATTGCAGCACCTCAGTTGAAAATCGCTGTCATAAGCAATGAAAACATGTTTGAATTCCTACAAGTATGTTTGGATTTCATGGGAGGCACTCAGGTTCAGCCCCCTCTTTCACTGCCAAAGTGTAACCAGGTTTTGGATCAGGGATTTGCACATTCTTCTTTCCTTTGCTAAGAACATTGGGTGGATATTCGGTTTTATATTTTCTTGTTATAATCGGCTCTTTGCACAAGGAGGAAGTTTTACCCTGGAAAATTGTAGACAAAGAACAGTTTTGCCAGTTTTTACCGAGGGTTGAGGAAGCCTGAACTGCAGGAAATCTCTATCTTAATATTTATTGGAGATAAGATATTTGAATTAGTCCATACCTATGGGTGGTGAGGAAGGCCGAGCAAGGGGCTTGTGGGCAGGAAGCAGGCTCTGATTCACAAACACTCTCTGTGCAGGCGATAAAAGGATCCGTGGGGCTTCCAGTGGCTGTGCAGTGCATTGCTTTGCCATGGGAAGAGGAGCTGTGTCTTCGGTTCATGAAGGAGGTGGAGACCCTGGCCAAAAACCAGAGTGAACCCAAATGATGGGCTGTTTCTTCTGCTGGAGATCTTCCTACATTCTCATCCATGTCTGTTCCCAATGCCCTTCCCTTCTCATAAATATCACATCCTGTCATATCTCCTCCCGAAGCCCACCAGATTCTTTTTCTTTTTCTTTTTTCTTTTGTAGTCTCTCTGTCCTTGTGGGTGCTTAGTCTATGGACTCGGATCCACCCAAGATGGGTATCCAGGGGTCAATAAACATTTTTGACTGGCCAGCCTTGTGGTCTCTGATCTAAGTGGCACTGTAGCTTCCTGGTAGCCTTATGCCTCCAGCTGTTCTCCAGCTCAGTCCCTCAGATGCTATCACAGATTGTAGCAGACAGGAATAAGCCCCAAACTGAGAGGCTAGAGACCTAGGTCCAAGTCTTGGCTCTGCCACTGGCTTACTGTGCAATGCTGGGAAAATAACTTCCTCTCGCTGGATCTCTGTTTTCTCATCTACAAATTGAGGGAGTTAGATTTGATGACTTCACTATTCTGTGAGCTGTAATTTCCAGGTATTTCCCTGAGTAAGAACTTGCTATAGCTCCCATTACTGTCTAGAGAAAGTTCCAGAGAGCAAGACCAATGGAATGAAGCCTAGTCAGAGCAGACCCTGGGTTGGGACCAGACCTCAGCTTACAGTCCAGTGTTTTGCAAACAAAGTGCTGATTTCTTGGCATAGCACCTCCTGAGATCCTCTAGTGTCCTCTGCTTTGGCCCTGCTATGGCACAACCTCCCTCACTCCCTCAAACTGGACACTTCTTGTGAGCATGATGCGCTTTTGCCTCTATGCCTCTGTTCATACTGTTCCTTTTACCTGAACATCATCACTGTCTCTTCTGTCCTTTAAGCCCTCTGTCAAATGCCACTTCCTCCGGGAAGTCTTCCTTGATTCCCTTCAACTCCCCCATGACTTTCCTTTCATCTGAACTCTCTTGAGATCCTCCTGCATCAAAACTTATCCTTCCTGGGGGGTGGGGGGAGTAGAACAGAGTACAGGGGGGACAAATGGTGATGGAGGGAGACTTGACTTGGGGTGGTGAACACACAATGCAATATACAGATGATGTGTTATAGAATTGTACACCTGAAACCTATATAATTTTATTAACCAATGTCACCCAAATAAATTGAAAAAAAAAAAAAAAAGGAAAAAAGTACCCTTCGCACTCCTTTTGTCACCAGGTCTTAACAGTGTGGGGACAGTAGTGGCAATGAGGCAGAAGCACTACCTAAGGCTGTGGCATGGGAACTGCAAGATAGCTGCCTGGGCCAGACCCTCTATCTCCTCTGGGCCTACAATTTGCTACATGATGCTAAAAGCACTTTTGAAGAAACATATCCATGTGGTTTTCAGTTGCTGGTTCTGGATAACTTTTGAGTGTATCTCAAACCCCTAGCCCAAACAGACACCCAAAATACAGAAACTTCTTAATTGAGAAGCAAGAAATTATACACTCCGTTTTAAAGAAGCAAAAAATGGGGGAAAGTACAGACTCCTCAAGTGTATTGTTGACTACTTGTAAAATATGCAACAAAACAGTTAAACATCATGGTAAAAACAGAAGCTTTCTATCAGCATTGAAGAGTAATCCTACCACTCTGACGAGTAAACTCAGCTTGAAGACACCAGAGAGAAAGACACTAAGTTCTGTAAACGTAAATCATAGTATGTCTGGCTCCAAAGGCAAGAACCCAGCATTGATTTTCACAGCATCTACATCTGGACAGTCAACACTCACTTGCTCCTTAAATATATGAACAAAACAAAGAAATACTTCTCTCAACTAAAAATGTTGCTTAGAGTGAAATCCAAAATAATTCAAAGGTGAAGTTTAGAAATTTCTTATCTTCTTTGTAAAGGATGGACTATGAAAATAAATATTTAACACATTCTGAAACTAAAGTTAGACCAAAAAACCCCAAGCTTTTAAAAAACTTTTATTTATTCTCTAAGTACATGAAAACTAGGGTACAAAAGCAAAATTTTCTTGGCATTCTTCAGTATATATGGAGAAAATAACTCATCAGAATCAATAAGTGGAACCTGCCTGGTGGTTTTAAGAATAAAAAATATATGAAAATACAGATAAAGTGTTATAGAATTGTATAAAACCTATATAATTTTATTAATCAATGTACCCCAATAAATTCAATAAAAATTAAAAAAATAGTATGTGAAAAGTTATTGTAAGTAGTAAATATATATGAACAAAAAATAAAAACAAAACAAAACAAAACCCCCACAACCTTCCCTTTTTCTGTCCCATTCCTCTTTGTAGCCCTATTTCCAGTCATCTAGGAAAACCAGTGACCTCATCCTCCCTTGTACTTAACAGCACAAACCTTCTGGAGGTAGTATCTCAACGCAAAGGAATGGAATTCATCCATCCATCCATCCTACATTTGTTGAGTACCTTCTCAGCACAAATGATAGAATTTCAGGCAGAAAAAGGCCTGAGTTTAACTAAGATGAGGATGCCAGGAGTCACACCAGAACGGCAACCCTGACTCTCCCTAAAATAAAAGACACCGTTTGGGGTGTCCAGGTGCAGGCTGGACAGTGCTACTGCTGACGTCACTATGGCCTCCACCCCTCTGGGGCTCTACTAGAGAGTCTGAGACCTCTGCTGGAGAAGGAGCCTCACGGTTTCCCCTTGCTCAGTAGGGCTCCTGCTTTGTTCTCCCTCTTACTAATAGGTTCAGAGAAGGTGGGGGCGGGGCACAGCTGTTTGTTTGTTTGTTTGTTTGTTTCTTTTTTTTAACCTCAATACCTCTGGTCTCTCTTCCCATCGGCGTACTATTGTAACAGCCTGGGCACCAGGGGGCAGCATTGAGCTTCATACAGTGCAGATAACGCACTTTCCGCTTTAATCAGATCCACTGTGACCACTACTTTTGGAGATCTTTGTTCAAACTCCATTTCGCAGATGGGGAAACTAGAGGGTGGAAAAACAAACATAGGGGGCACAGGAATAAGCCCGGTGCTTTGACTTTGGGTAAAACATTTGCAGATTTTAGGAGATACAGGATAGGATTATATTTTTGGCTGAAATTACCCTGGATAAAGGGAGCAACAGGGCCTAAGGGACTAAGTCCCATCCTAGGGCCAGACTTCTTTCCAGACTTGGCTTTCTCTGGTTACTCTTTAAAAAAAATTTTTTTATTTACTTATTTTTAGAGAGAGAAGAAGGGACAGAGAAAGGGAGGGAGAGAAACATGGGTGGTGCCCCCAATCAGGCCCAGCTGCAGCCTGTGTGTGGGTGCACCAGGGACCTCCAGGAACATGGCCTCTCTTCCTTCTCCCTTTCTCATTCCTGGGACTTCCACCGTGGAGGGTTGATGTGGGGGCACATACATCCAGGCTCTGCCTTCTCTGCAGCCTTGGGCAAGTCTTCCAGATTTTCTAAGCCTCAGTTTCTTCTGTAAAATGGAAATAACGATGGCATGCCACAGCCTCAGGATGAGACAGATCCACAGAAGGTGATGGCCAGGTGGGAGAACCTGGGACCCCTCCTCAGCCTGGTAGTTGCTGTGGGGTGAGAGGCAGTCACAGGTCTGGGCGGCTGTGTCCAGCATTCATTAGGAAGAGCCAGATCGTCCTGGGGAAGACTAAGAGCAGCAGAGTAGGAATTTAGCTCAGAAACAGGGAAATTCCCAGGGCAAGATGGTTCTACCAAGGCTGGGACTGAAGCCCCAGAGCAGGACTTTTGGAAAGAGGGCACCTGGAGTTCTGATCTTGTTTCTGTGCTGTGGGATGCGAGTAACACCTAGCTCCTTTCTGGGCCTCAGTTTCCCCTTTGGCTGCAGGGGGAAGGGGTGTCAGCGTGTCTTGCCCTCCCTCCCCGTTCTTTTCGAAGGCTCTGCCAGTCTGCCTCGTGTTGCTCCGCCCCAACCTCCACTGGCCTAGGGACTTACAGGCTTCGCCACCCCATCCACCGCACCTAGACGGGTCACCGGAGGGCCGGACAGGCCCTTGTCGGGGCGCCTCCCGCGCACTGACAGAAAGCCCGGGCCGGAACACGCCCAGAGTCCAGCTCCCTCCCTGGCCGCCAGGCCGCAGGCTCAGCGCACTGGCCGCCCCGCCCGCCTCGCCTCCCCGGGCGCCCGCATTAAAGCGCATATGCAAGCCATGAATTATCAACTGAAAGGAGTCAATTACCGGCTCTAAAAACGAGTGTCTGCGCCCTGCGCTGGGAGCGCCCGGGGCCATCCGCCTATTTACGGAGCGATTTCCCCCGCCCGGCCTCGGGAGGGAGAGAGACAGAAAGACGGAGCCCGACACCGGGAGGGAGAGCGATGGAGAAAGAGACTGGGGGAAAGAGAGAGCCACAGACCCGCAGAGACAGAGAGAGGGAGAAACTGGGACGGGAAAGAGAGAGAGAGATTAGAGCAACGCGCAGAGAATCAGACGAGGCAAAAGCAGCGTGGGTGCCTCTTCCTAGAGCAGCAGAGAGAGGTGAGCCTCAGGACTTCAAAGGCCCTGTGTTCTCTCCCAGTGTTGGCGTAGCGCCCCTAAACCTGCAGGGCTGAGGGAGGCTGCTCTGCCGGCTGCGGCACTGGAGTTGGGGGATAGGTCTGGGGCTCAGGAAGTGATAAGGTGGGGAGCATAGTTTGCCGAGAGGCCTGTCCTGGAGGGATCCGGGGAGCAGGCTGCGGTGCTGTCCTGTGTGAGGTGAGCTGAACAGTGTGCCCTTGGGAGGAGGGAGGAGGGGCGAGGAACAGTGCAGATAGAGCCTGATGTGGGGGTGTCTGCGTGGCCCCTCAGCACTGAGACAGAAATGGTGATCCCCAGTGGGCTCCGGAAGCCAAGTTGTTTCCTCCTCTGGAAATGCTTTTGCTGCCAGCTCCTACTCATTCTTTGACCCTGGACCTCCCCAGCTGCTGTGCCTGCCTTAGCCTCAGCACATACCTCATTCTATTCCATGATCCAGGCCTGGCTTCCCCACTAGATAGCGACTTCCACACCGGCAGGCCCTGGCCCACCTAAGTCAGTGTT